AGACCTTCTGACGTCATCAACCGAACCCCCCTTTCTTAAGCTAGGCTGTTCTAAGGGGGGACAATACTTTTGCGTATCTTTCTTTTAAATAAAACTTTAACAATAATAGAGATATTCCAGGTGGTCAATGTTATTCGCCAATTCTATATAAAAGAATGAGAAAGTAAATTCTCTAGGTGGAAATAAGGTGGTATGAGAACGATCCCTTGTGATCGATCGTAAATCACGTCACAGATCCAGCCGATATCGACTTTGGCAAACGTGTTTCTAGTAATTGACCGTTGTACTGGTAACTTTGTGTCCTTAGAAAAATACTGTTATTCCTTTCATTTTGAAGACAAAGGAAAGTCCTCCGCTGAGAGACATTGTCATACTTATGTACCGGGTTGATAAACACATCGTATTCATCTGTTGTCGGATGACACACCTTCTTACTCATTAAGAACTGATAGATAAAGCGACCGAGCAAAGTAACCAGTTGCATCATCCAAAACAATTATGTAGTCATAAATTTTTCGAACTGAAAAAAAATCTAATTTTCATGTTCTAAATAGTTATTAATATTATTATTATTATTTGAAAATTCGACTTTAATAATTACAAAATCTCTTATTCATTGATTGATGCGGTTACCCTACTGCTTTGTTAGTACGTGTTCGACTTTCTGCAGTACATATTTAGAGAGCTGTTTATTTACCTCGGCCGCCATGACAGTCGTCCGGTAGTAAGCGCCGAAACAGGACGTGTGTCCAACTGTTGAACGAGTCAAGGACGCGACAGATGTAATCCGACGCTTGTAAACGAACGTTCTCGTGTATAATTTCTTGTATTACATGGTGCTAGTGTGTGTCGATCGAGATGCCATATCTTCGAGCTAGTGATTTAGTTTTTATGTGATCGATAAACCTGTAGATCGCGTCTAATCTATTTTATAGGGCTATTAGACGATTACGAAAGATTGTGCTATATTGAAGTGAAGAAAATACATAGTGTGGTGAACAAAGAAGTACTGCTTCGAATTTTTACTACAATTGCTGGTAAGGTTATAAGAATTTTTGTGATGCAATACAAGCGACAAGTGTATATTTTGTGGTGAAACTCAGTGGTTTTCTTTCATCTGACAAAGGAACTTTGTTAATCCATGGATTTCAACATTTTTTAAACTATGCAAATTTGTTGTGAACCTCGACAGAAGCATCGGGCAATTTTTCGTTTTTGCTGATATTCGGTTCTTCAGAGTGAAACCACCTCTTGAATGTGAATGTGCGTTTTTTTGTTTTTATGTATGTCTTAAAAACTATAGTGGATATAAAAACAATGAAAATTTAATAGTTTTTCATATTCTATAAAACTGTGCAAAGAAATTGTTAAGAATTTGTTTGTTTATTTATTTAAAAAACTAATTTTGAACGATTTCATTACACTCTTCTACAGACCATAAAAAGCAATTAAATTTTCATTGTAATAGTGTTTTCGATATCTATTATAATTTTCAAAATATACAGGAAAATAGGAAAGACACTTTAAGGGGTACTTTCACTATGAACAACGAAAAATGATCCAATGCTTCTATTGAGGTTCCCCCAAAATTTTCGATTTAACCATAATGTAACGAAATTTCCTTCTGAGTTGATATTTATTCAAAACACTCAATATCTAACCAAACACTGCTTACATAATACATATCCCTCATTGTTGATTAATAATCCCATCTATATTCACGATGGTTACATCTAATTGCCAACTGTTTACATACTGTACAATTCAGGTTTAACGAGCCGCGAAATAATTAACTAACAAACTCAATCCCAGTATTCCGTTTTCCAGAAACATTTTATTCAGCCACCGAAAACTTGTGTCCTGGTTAAAAAAAGGTCAGATTTTTCGGGACAAAAGTAATAAAACTGCGCTCGGACGGTTCGCGAACAATGGTTATTTCACAGAGGCTATCCAAATTTTCGATGTGATAAACACAAACGAGCGTTGTTCTTTTCTTTTTTTTTTTTACCATTCGCGGTCAGTTATGAAGGAAAAGTGGAGCGAGCTTGGAACAACCGTGCGCATCGCCAAGATTTTCCGTGTAATTGGCTCAATGCGTCTGATATTGAGTCGGTTCGTCACGCTTTCTAAACGACACGGTCTTTCCACCTCGCGATCCATCAATCGAATAAGAACGATATTTTCAGGGATTTTATGCTACCGTTCCTCCACAATGGGCAATTACGCGTGGATATTGAAACGCGTCCTTTGTGGCTACTCGATCGGCGATCCACCCTTTTGTCCCGAGACCACGGCCAATTAGATCAAACGTAGATCCTCTTTTTTTTTTTTGTTCAATTCTCTAATTCTGGAAATGTTCCTGTACCGAAGAACCACCCTGGAAGTTCTGAACACAGCTATATTATCACTCAAGGGGGGGGGGGCAAAATTAATCTTAAGGTTTCTTTAATAATCCATATTACTTTAAATGGATTTCAGATTTATTCTTACATTCAAAATATAGTTAATGTAATGCAATATTTTTCTTCTCTGGAGGGGAGGGGGGGCAGAATCCAATTTTTTCCTCTTTAGAATATGCCAAAGGTCACTTTTCCCTTCTGGAGGGAGGGGCAAGTGACTGTGGCCACGCCTATGCTGGTGGTCTCAATCCATCATCGAAGCCATTGACCCGATCAAAATGACTTGATTCTCCTAGTCGATGGATCAACACACATACACACACACCATGAAACCAATTCATAAAATGACCATTAGGATAGCGGACCGTTCGATTCTCCATCGGGGGCGATCGGTAGGAACGTCGCTGTGGGCGATAAACGGTGGTTATTTATTATTCAATTAACATAAAATTACTGTTCCACGGAGGCGTGAGCGGATAGTGGTGGGGAGTACATCACTCGGGGGAGGCCGTCCCGAGAGGACAATGGTTCGTTAAAAGTTAATATGTCTTTCTCTATTTGCCTGTATATCTCGAAAACTGTAGCAGATATCGGAAAAGTGTTACAATAACAATGTAATGGTTTTTTATATACTATAAAACTTGCAATGAAATTGTTCAATAATTGCTCATTTTAATTCACTTATTTATTTAAAAAAAACAATTTTTAACAATTTATTATACACTATTACAGAGCATAAAAAGCCACTAAATTTTCACAGTAACAGTTTTTTTTATATCTACTATAGTTTTCGAAATATACAGGCAAATGGGTAAAGACCCATTATGCTTCAAGGGGTGGTTTCACCCTGAAGATCCGAATACCATCGAAAACGAAAAATTGTCCGACGCTTCCACCGAGCCCCCGTAAAAATCTGTGGAATTTTTTAAAAAATCAAAATTTTCTTGTACCAAAGTTACCTTGTAAGATAGATTTATTATTCAATTAACATAAAATTACTGTTCTGTGCAGGCATGGGTGGGCGTAGATCACGCGAGGGGGGGTGTCCCGGGAGGACAATAGCTCGTTACCCCGGGGCCAGAAAATTAGACGCTGGCGCTTTGCAGCAAGGGGGAGGGGTAGGGGCGAGAGTGGGAGAAGAGGGACTGTAGTGTGGAGGGGAGAGAAAGAATAAGTGTCCCCTGTGGGGGGACAGTGGGTGGATGGAAGGTTTGTCGCGGGAGAGACTCTGGGGGTGGTGGTGGACGTCGCGCATTTTTCCAACGGGAAGAAAAGTAATATTTCCGTATGATTTACATGCCGGGCGTCAGCTCGCTCGTTAATAATTCAATTTTCAATCTGGTCTTAATGCACGCCTGTCCCCCAGTCTCTGTCTCGCATTTTTCCCGTTCCGTGCGCCGCCAGCGTGACCCGTTCTTCCTTTATTTTCCTTCATCTTTCCCCTGGTTTCGCGTGCAACGCGGATCCGACACGAGAGAACCAAGCCGAAAGTAATCACGAATGGAGTGTAAGATCTCTTCCGTTGGAGGGCTTCCCCGAAACTGACACACGAACTATTTAGTTACCGTGTCTGAAACGTTTCAATTAATTGAGTTGCTTGTTAGCAGCTTCAAATTTTTGGAGAATTGAATAGCAGAGTCCCGTTGTAACGCGTTGCGATTAGGCAATCGATAAGTGGGGGTCAGGCAATTGATTTGTCGGGTCAGGCAATTGATTTGTCGGGTCAGGCAATTGATTTGTCGGGGGGCATGCAATTGATTTGTCGGGGGGCAGGCATTCAGCAAACCAGGTCGGGCATTCGACGCACCGAGTCGGGCAATTCATTCGCCTGGTCAGGCAATCTACTCGATAGGTCAGGCAATTGACGTGTCAGATCGACGTCGGTGTGACGATTGAGATATTTCCAGACAAACCATGCCAATTGTATTTTGCCTGACCGGGATAAAACGATCCTGCGAGGTAGAGTTCAGCGAATCAACGAACGAGCGTGCCCTAATATTTGATCGGGTATTTTTGGAGCAATCGTACTACGTTGTATCTATTTTTTTTTTTAATTTTGCTTCCAAATGGGATCGAGGTTCTTGCTCCTGCTCCCCTTTCAGCCGTGGACCGATTGAGATTTTTATTCGTAATGAAAAAGGGGCGGGCGGCTGTCTCGTAGCTGGATCGATTCGCGGGAATTAATTTTCTCCAGCAGAGCGGCTGGTAATTGTTAACGAAAATTTACCCTTTCTCGGCCATCGACCCGACCAATTGTTTCGTTTCGTGGATTCGTTTCCCAGGCAAACGAATTTTTGTCGTGTTCGATATATTATGACACACCCTGTACATACATCGCTATGTCTTGTCCACCTAGTATATGAATTTCACTACTTACCTGCAGAAGAGGCACCTACAACATAGGCAGACTTTTTACATCCAGGTGACTAGTTCTTAACAAAGTCGTTTCTTCAGCAACTTCTTCATCAATGTTTCATTTTATCGATAAATTATTATTTCTTTCACTGAAAAATTACATCAATTCACACGGAACATTTTTGGACGAATATTTCATTGATATCAAGAGTATTTCGGTTAGCAGTGATAATACACGGTGTCTGGTTCGTCTTGAATGTCCTTTATATAATCGTTATTAACTTGATCTATAAAAACATAACAATTCATATATAATGTAACAAACAGTGAACGCGCGATATGCCCAGCTTTCGGACGACACAGGGACACTCGGCCGGTTACAGAGTATTGAGACGAGACTTGCAACGATCTACGGATGGTATAGATCACAAAATGAAATTGCGCGTCAGCAACGATTCTCGATCATGGATTCTCACAATATTATCCCTCCAAAATATACTTCAAAGCATGCTAAGATTTCATCGACGCTGAGAACATTTTTATGTACACAGTAATGCTCGGATTAGTGATCACTGTCCGAACCGTTAAACCGGGGTGTGTATGTCTTTCTAAAATTAGCTGAATACACACACAAGTGAAACGAAGAAAGAAATCGTTGTCCTAATCCGAGACTTACAGTGTCCAGAAACACGTAACAAATAGAAAATACAGAGGTACACAATAAATGCTCGCCAAGTGATTCCGTAAGTGTACCAAAATCCTTGTTATTTGTATCCACATCGAGAACCGTCGCGTCAGAGTACAGAAACGCCCTCGTTCGAGGGTGATGATCGAGACGAGCGATTGTAAATAAGTACAGTCTTGTGATTTCAGGGAATGAACGAACACAACGATTTTGGATCGCAATGATCCACAGGGCTGCTGTTGTTGCTATCCTGAATGGTATAAACCGACGCGTCAGTCTCTGGCGACACACGAATACCGGACCGAGGTGATCGTGTATCGCGTTAGTTTCGGGGTACGGTCCTTCGAGCTCCGTTCGATACATTTATCCCCATTTGTCGAACTATTGGATCCTCTCCGGGCATCGGAAGCGCAGGCTTGGTCTTCAACGATCGCCTGATCTCCCGTAGTATTCTCGAGGAAAACGTCGATCGACCTCGGGGTCGCCTCCGATCGGCTCGGCTTCTCCTCGGAACGATGCCTGAAATAGAAAAATGAGATAATTACGGTAATGCCTCGGTATTAGTCCATCTGTGAAATTTCATCGATAGCCACGATTCGTGATCTCCTGTTTGTCAAGCAGTTGGAACTAGGGACCCGGTCGATTTTCGAGGAATTACAGTAATACTTCGCTACTTGTCCATCTGTGAAAGTTTATTGGTGGAGTGACACTAGAGACAGTAGATACCTTATCCCCTGTATGTATGTTTCCGACATTAATTGGAGATTGTGGTTAAGATTTAACGAGGTAGTACCATAGACGTTTCGAGCCACAAGATTGATAGTCTGTAACGTCGTGATCCGATTTCCAAATAATTGTCCGAAATAAGTGGATCGTACCCTTTAACAGGATCGATAGTACGGGACCAATGGAGCTCGGTACAACTGGGTTTATTGTTAGTTCCAAAGGTCTTTGCAATCGGCTTAACCTCACAAGAGAGGAATAATTAGAATACATCCCCCGGTATTTTTCTTCAAGAAATGTGAGAATTGAGAATCTCCGAAGATCTTCTTGGAATATACGATCCATACTGCGACACCCCCCATCCCTCAACGGTTTTCTCTTGATCCACGGTTAGGGCAGACATTGTCGGTAAACGGTGCACGTTAAATCCGCGCGCCCCCATAAAGCCAGTCTCACCGAACTTCTTTCGCTGTCTAACGATTTATCGTCGACCTTTACGGCCGGCCCTCGCAAGATAATCCGCGTCACGCGAAAAACCTTGATGCACGGCCGTGCACAGAGGCCACGGAGCCTCGTTCAAAGTCGAACGGAGGGACGACGTTAACGGGATTTATCGTCGGGCGATGGCAAGCCGACGTCGTTCCACGCTGGAAAATTCCGCGTGTTCCAATTTGTACCGGTTAAGGACGTGATCCATATTTTTATGGGGGCACCTGTAATCCCGATCTAGCATATTCTATCAGACCTGTTTGCCATTCATGCACCCTTAAATTTCCATAACTCAGATCGTTTTCTAAAAGAACAGCTGATACCATTGAAATATAGGACAAAACAGACCTAGCATTTGTAAACTAAAAAGAAGTGCATTTGTAGGAGATCGGATGGGACGGGCGGTCTGCGGAGACGTTTCTCCCAGGCGCTTGGGTTTTTGGTAAAGACCGCTAGGTGGCGAGTTTTCTCGCAAGCGATAGTTGCAGCCTTTGGCTACTTAAGGGACTCCGCCGAGGAGCAACCCAGGCGTCTGGGGGGTAGGGGTCGTCTACCGTCAGCCCCACTGACGAGTCTTGGTAGACGATTCCCGAGACGAAACGCTGTATTTTTGATCCGCCTACACATTAAATCCTGTAACCTTTCGATTCCTATATGATATAGGGCCAAACAGAAGGTGGCTCCTGTAGCTGTCTATGGGACCTCAAGGATGTCCCAAGATTCCAGCCCAATTAGCTACCATCTAACTTCACTGTAGTTCCCTAACCCAGTTCTAACTTCCTACATCCTTTCACATCCAGAAGCCACCGATCGCCAGTGACCTCAACCGAAGTCTTGTACTCTGATAGCTAAGCAACCTATCTTTGCACCTGAGGTATACGAGAACCTACCCTTTGTGTCACTTCTCAGCGTCAACGGTGTTCAGCGGGATGATCTCGTTGATCTTCCCATCACCAGGTGTCTCTTCATCCTTCTTCGGCTCCTCCATGAAGAGGGTTCTGTAGAGGAACGATGACAGTAGAGCGCCACCGACCGGTCCGAACCAATAGATCCAATGATGGGACCATTCATTGTTCCATAGAGCCGGGGCAAACGACCTGGCTGGATTTAAGCTGCATCCGGTGTACGGGCCAATCGCGGTTGCCAACGCGGCAACAGTAAAGCCGAACTTTATCGGAATCGAGTCCTTGTTGTCCTTGTTCTTTTTGTCCCAGATTGCACACGCGACCAGCATCAGTATCCCTGTGCCTATACCCTCCAATAGTAGGCCCTGCATCACCGAGAGTTCATTGTGCAGATTGTTCACGCAGAACATATTCCCGCCGTCGGGACCTGCCGCCATCAGATGCACCGTTGGTGTGACCACCTGGAACGTGAAAATTTCGGTTCTGTAAGTAGGGGTCACTTTGACTGACAAGTATACATCGTGAACGGTCCGGTTCCGATTCGGACAAAACTTTGTGGGCTTGAAGAATGGCCAAAAATAGAAGATACGTATTCTTTTTTAGCGAGAGTAACCCAAGTTTTTAAAGGGTGAAACGACCAAAGTTCGACCCCTACGGAACTAACTCGGAAACGGTTAAAGATAGAATAAATTTGTTTGACAAAAATTAAATGGTTTTTTACAGATTGGACAACAATCCGATAGTTAGTAAAAAATTTTCTAGGTATATAACAAAAAAGGTTGCATTTGTTACTGCATGAAAATTCTATTTTTGAGCTTGGGAGAAAGTTACCCTTGACTGAGTTAAGGTTACCCTAACTTATGGTCCCTTCAAAGATGTTCGGATACATCTACAGTGGTCATCTTCAGTCCACGTTTATCCACTTATCTGAAGCTCCAGATCCAATTAGACTTAGTGATTTTCATCGACTCTAGATTGTTCGTTCGAGTCACCGTACAGATGGGTCTAGCTCGCCAAAGACAACATGTTTGTACATCGACGAACGGTTTCGCAAGCCCCCTGCCTCGTCATGAATAACGTGTTCATGAATCAGCGATTAGGCCAGGGGTCTTGAACCATCGATAAAACGATACGGGGGCAAAGTTCCGATTACATTAAGACCGTATTATCGGATAGTAGCGAGCCAAGGTTGACCTTCGTGCGTTTTGTGCGGTCCTTCGTCTCAAATGGGGACTGCCTAGTGCAGTTCATGATTCTCTGGGGACACCCACCTTCAGCATCCCGAATCCCATTACCCCTCCGAGTATCTGAGCCAGAAGGTAGCACAAGCCATCCGCGATGGATTTCTTCCCGAGGATGATCGCTCCGACCGTGATCGCAGGATTAACGTGAGCGTCGCTGATGTGTCCAATGCTCTGCAAGCATCGTCGTAAATCGAATGTAAATACATAGATCTAATCGATCTAATCGAAGATCCAATGTTTACGCGAGTCTTATCGCGGGATACGACGCCACGAAGACGCCAGCACCTACGAGGGTCATTATCGCGGACGAATTGGTAATCGAGCGAGAACGGGCCGATCGGAAATTTAATTAGCGTCGCGGCCCCGACCTTCTCTGCCCGTTTGCGTCGACGACGATTAATTCAATCGGGCCACGATAAATACAACGAACATACATGTTGATAACAACCGCGTAACATCGTCCTCGTCGTCGTTCGACCCTGATCGACGACAAATGCTCCCTAACCAACTTACCTGGATCACGATCATCACCGCCAGACCGAAGGTGAGCGCGATCTGCAGGTGGGATGGCACCACTCCCATAGAGTTCACACAACCCATGCATCCCGTGAACACCAGTATCGAAGTACCCAGTATCTCTGCCAGGCTCGGAATAAGAATTTTCTTTAACTCCCATGTACCGCCATCCAACAGCTTCTTGAAGCCTGTAACACAGGGGAACGTGAAAATATCCTGTAGAAATTCTGTCAGGCACTCCGTCAAAGTTAGAATCACCAAATTGGAGGACCCTGATTTTGGTCCTACCATAAGTGATGTTGGGTCATCCCATGCGAAGAAGTTTACCACGTAGGAAACTTCACCTCGAGGACAGTATTCTTTAACTGTAGGATGTTCTGTCGGGTACTCTGTCGAAGTTAAATAGATTTCCCCAGAAGAATTTATAGAAAAAATTGTAACATTAACGGGTGCCTTGAAAACGAGGGGAAGTACTCGTCACAAGAATTAATATAAAAAATTGTAGAATTCACAGGGGTACCTTGAAATCGATTGAAAATGAGGGAAAAGACCACGTGGGTCGCATGGGCTCTACAGGACGATTCAAAATTGACGCCACTGAATATGTAAGCCTCTGTATCACTCGTTACACCGGAAATAGAGATCCATCAGAGTAAGATAGTCCTCGAGAAGGAGGATACCGTTGAAAATTTTCGTGACGGTAATTTTGAACCTCCCTGTAGCCTCCATCCTCCTACCACTACAAGACAGTTAAAAATTGTCGCGATGGAACTTCTAAGCCCTCCCTACACCACTCGTCGCACTGTACTCGTAACAAGAGATCCGTCCGAATACATTTTCGTGACGTTAGTTTTGAATCGTCCTGTAGCCTCCGTCGTCCCATTCCAGAACAACACGACGGTAGATCGAAGATCGCGGGTACGCAGGCTCGTGGTGAGTCGCGCTTCCCACGTGAAACCTCGAGGACCGCGTACATCCTCCGAAGAAGGCACCACTTACTACGGACCATAAAGTCCTCTTACCATAATCTCGAGGCATTCTGCTAGAAATTCGACGGATCGACACCACTGAACGTGCACGCTGAACCACTTCCAACGACGGAGTAAACCACCAGAAGGAACGTATTTGGATCACAGGCTCGATACGCGAAGGCCGTGCACACCGCTCACGTTGTTCAGACGCGACTATCCGTGGAACCAATTAGCCTCCTCTATTAATATCAGAGAGAGAACGGTGGTTCATCTCCTAGATAGGCAACAATACGCACAGATACCGACTTCCTGCCTCTTAATCTTATCGTCCTGAGACAATCCGGGGACCCCACGCTTGGTGGGGGAGGACTTTGTCTATAACACAAGCTGATCAGAGGGAAACAAGTAGCTTCCAAAGGTACAGGTACATCCGATACGAGGTTAAACAGAGCTATCGGACAGAGTTTAATCTTCGGCCACTCAGTTCCCGCGTGACTGTAGATTCTTATTTTTAGAAGTTATTGTCATCGGGTATGTCGGACCGTGTGCCGGGTCGATGAGTAGTCTGAACCCTCCGAGTCACCGATGAAGAGAGATTTTGGGGTTAGGTCAGTGACGAGCGTGATGATTCGCCGTTGACGATTTAGAGGTTAGGTCAGTCACGTTGAAATTGGCGGGATTCGCCATGTGGTCACACGTCGAACTTCCACGCAGGGCTTTGTGGTGTCTTTAAGTAGTTAGCTGTTTACCACCCTGTTCTAACCTATATTTTACACGAAATATTCACGTGGATCACACGAACCTCACGGGACTTTCTCCAGCGTCCACGAGGTGGGGACATTTTCGCGAGGAATTGCTGGAATCGCCTTCGACGAACATTAGTCTCGACTCTTGCGAGATATTGATCCTGACACACTAAGGCCCACGTGAACTCGTTTCGCCGGGATAGAGGCCAAACGAGTTTTCGGTCAGGGTCGTTGCAGTCGAGTCGATCAGAACATATGCTCGATTGTTTATACAATGACGTTAAGTATCTTCGAGAAGATTCTGTCACCAGGACTGATGGTCGATACCCTGTGGGTCACAAGTACATCACCAATTGTCCCTTTAAGGCTCAGACCCTTAAATCGTCATTTTAAAATTATGAGTCTAATATATATGTTGTATCTTGTTATTTTGAACGATCTTTGAGTCACGTGATCGAATCCACATTTATTGTACAAGAATAATTCTCTAATTTCTTTTTTCAAATGTTCGGTTTAAAGTGAAAATGTCTCCCCAAACGTGACGATAAATATGGCGTCGAATCCAAATTTACTGTAGAAAAACAATTGACGATTCAATAGGAGGAAATATGTAATTATAGGATTTCTAAAACCGATAAAAATTGTTCCGTTTATACAGGGTTTTAATAAAATTAATCCGGACCACAATAGAACAAAAAATTCTGTAAATGTTCATACTTCCATGAAGATATTGAGAACACATGTTAATAAATGATGACGTCATCGAAGAGTATTCCTAACATCGATGAACATTTTTTTCCTTTATACAGGGTGTTAATAAAAATGTGAGACATATGGACCACTGTGCTCTATTTGCATTTTCCAAGTGTACGTGATCGTGCGCGCGCGCGCGCGCTAAAAGTAATCAGCGATGCACGGCTCATTCCGTGAGTGCACCGTGATCGATGCGCTCGCGTATCGGAGTCCAATCCGCTGGCCGGCTGATGAAAATATCCATATCCGTGGAAATTGGCTCCCGCCGTGGACGTCGTCTATATCCACGATTTCGTTATCTGCGATTATTGACGATCCAGGGTACGGTGGAAACGTGGAACAATCTCACCGACGACTCGATATTACCCTCGCCGGATCCATCGGTACACGCCCCTTCGTAATTGCTACCCAGGTGAAGCGTTGTAATCTCGAATTCCGTGTTTTATTTTAAGAAAACTCGTTTTTCAACTTCGTCGAGATATTTTTCGTAATAGAGGATAATCGAGAATCTTTTTCAAGAATTTTTTCAGCGAATTAGTCTCCTACAATAAATTTGGATTCGACGGTATATTTATCGCAAAGTTTTGTAAGAAATTACCTTTTTTCATCGATACACGCGACTCAAACATCGTTCAGGGCCCGAATTCTGGGCGACCCCTATCAAAAAGGGATCATCAATCACTCGAGGCTCGAGTTACATCAGATTGACAGGGTGGATTAATCGGCCCACCCCGTTATAAACAACAACAAACGGTCCACTTAGCAGCCTAGATACACTACAATCTTGTTCCGTTGTTTTGCTTTCCCCTTCCATTTTTCCATGAACCAGAGCTGCGATCGCGGCGGAATAAAAACGTTGCGACGCGAGTTTCCGAGGTTACGCAACACTTGCACGGGATCCTGTTATAGAGGGGATCGTAGAGTATCGCGTGGATCGTGAAACTTCGATCAGAAAGGAACGTCGGACAACATTTCCACGTGCGGATAATTAGAAAACAAACTGGCGCGCACATGGTCACATTTGCATTCGGTTTTATCACCGTTGTTTTCCCGTTTTTTCCTTCGCGATGTTGCTTCCTAATTTCCTGTTTTACGACTACCGTCGTAATTTTACGGTATTTTACACGGTAATGGTAATTGTCGACCGAGTCATCGAGCATTATCTATGCTGAATCCATCGGTTTACTCGTTTTTTCGTACAGGAAGTCCATTTCGATTAGGACACTGCATATCAAAACGACGAAGATTTCCGTATTGGTTCGTCAGTTATTTAACGAACAAACAAATTTATACATATTTGAGAAGGAAGTCGGAAAATTTTCAACGTTCGAACGGAATTTACATAGGGTGCCCCTTTTGTCTTGACTATTTAAAATAATATAATGAATGTATCGTTTATTATCAAAGTGACGTAAGTGTATTTTTTTCATTTGGTATTCATTCGTGAATAATTTATAAAAGTAATTTGTTCATAATTATTTGTAACCACCGGAACCGTATTATTGATTTCCTCGAAGTTGCAGTTACACCATTTTCAAAATAAACGGCTCGAATGATTGTTTTTGTCTTATTATAGATTTTAATCGATTTAAAAAATTTAAGTAATTTGTACTTCCTATTACGATAGGTATAAATCTTTGGGTTGTTCCACAGATTTCAGAATATTGGCCGAAATATAATTCTGGGCAAAGATAAATGGGACACCCTGCATAAATTATACAGGCCTTATGTAAAATAAGCATATTGGTATCATTACATGTACCACACCTAAATAGAAGTTTTGATACAATCTATTTTTAACCCTCAAAATAGAAACTTTAACCCTCGAATTTGATAGACAATGGAAAATGTTATCTTTGATCCTATGTGTACAGCACCGATAAAATAACGAGGCCAGTACTTTGTGATCGATGGAAAAGATCAATATTAGTTGTGTCAAGATCCAGTTCAAACATCTTATTTCATTAAAGTCGGGCTGTTTGTTCTGTGACGTCCATATCGAGGCAAAGGACGTTCGAGGTTGTCTGTACAATGAAGTCTGAAGTGTCTGGGTGTTTAACAATCAAGAGTTAATGAATAAATTGTTCGTTGGCTACTGATGTGTACTTACTAGTACTTAGGAGACAATGAGTCGTGTACAGGCCGTTTCAAAACTGACAATCAGATTTTACATCCGAACATTCTAGACTCACCTACTGTTTTGATTTGTCAATAAAATAGTAAGTCATTGTTAATTAAGATTATTATGACACTGGTTGTGTATAGTTTTATAAAATTAATTATGGTAAATGAAAATCGGCTACTAATCTCGATGATTGTATTGAGTTCAAGTTCATTTACACGAAAATTATTAATTAAATAATAATGTTTAACGATACGATATAGTATTATAAGGTTAAATGACAGAATACATCGAATCAGTTAAATTTTGTACAGTTAATAAGATCCAAATCACAAAACTTTTGCGTCGTTAATACATCAGGTTAAGGTATGTTACGTAGGTTAGGGGAACGGGAGAAAAGAAGGCTCTGATGTCCGTGAAACATTATGAAAACACTTTTTATCGGCAAAGATGACACAGCTGCGACAAACACGATTCGACAATAGACCGGTGGTATTTCTCTTCTTGTCGCGACAAAATACGGGAAACGACTATTTACTGTTTCAGGTGAAATTATCAATATCAGTTATCCAGAATAATTCCAATATGGCGGCGATACATTTCCTGATGTTGTGGTTAGTCAAAATGGCGGAGAATATTGGAATTAAATAATGAAAGCTAGCTGTTCCATTATTTCGAGACAAACACGAAAAGTTTCGCAACAAAACTATCTAATAAAAAATAAAATAATATAAAATCATAAATACATTTCCGATTTTGGGGTTGGTCAAAATAGCGATCAAATAATGAAACATTATTTATTCAATCATTCAAAACGAGTATGGAAAATTTCGTTGGAAAACTAACTAATAAAAAATAAAATAATCATAAAATAATGAAAAATAAAAATACAGTAAATAAATAACTGATATAAACAAAATTACCGAATATTATTCGGATAAAGAAAAGGTAATATTATTCGCATAATATGACGTAATATTATTATTCAGTTTCTCAGCTATTCCCCATTTCGCAAACTTTCCTCGTTGAGACTAAAACAACGGCTGCTAATCGATCAGACTTTCGACCCCTCATTATCGGCGCTCGATAAATCTGCGCTGTTTTGCGATCGATCGTGACGAACGTTAATCGACCATTGAAAGTCAACCGAATCGTTCATCCAAGAGATCTAGGTCGCCAACGTGTGAGATGATATCCTGATGAAAAATCATCGTGGTAAACGACGCTCGGTTAGTTGTTGGCATCACATCGGTTTTAAGGAAAAGCTTCCGCGTGAAATACGAGCGTGTGACGTGATAATGGGAACGCGCGATGACAGGGGACCCTCGAAGGCGAACGGGACAAATTATATGCCGCGCGGTTTTATCGGTGTAGCAGTTGGTCTCTCTCTCTCTCTCTCTCTCTCTCTCTCTCTCTCTCTCTCTCTCTCTCTCTCTCTCTCTCCTCGCTCTCTGACATTGTGTATACACACGACGCGATGGAATCGACGTTATCACTCGGTGGCGGGGTTAAATGATAACATTTGCTCTCTCGAGCGCAGTCCCGGCGGGCGTGTGGATTTCGTAAATTTCGGATTAGAACAGCTTTACACGGGCAATTACTGTGACACGAGGAAAAATCAAACCAAGACTTACGCTTGTCGATTGTCATTTGATACCTGGGTAATATATGCATATTTTAGGATATATTGATCAAAGGAGAGTTTCCACACTAGTCTATTGTGATTGTTAATGCTTTTTTACTAGTATAGTTTATTTTGTACTAGTTAGTATCTTTAACTAGACGTTACTCGAATGTCGTTTCGGTTCGTCGTTCTAGATCGTGATCTACTATCGAGGTAATACTGTACTCAGGATTCTGAATCAGAAGTAGAGTTCTTAGGCAGTATGTAACTATAATGACCTTGATTTATCGTCTATCTAGACGACGAATATGGTATCGAGGACACTATATTTACAGGAGTGTCTCGATACTAGTCCACTAGCCCTGGAACACTTTTTCTAAGCATTATTTTCTATTTCAAAGCCGTACTCTGAATTTACGTTACTTGGACATTTACGTTACCCTTTACAATCCAAGACCGCGAACTACTATCGAGGTAATGCTGTACTCATAAGCACAGTTCTTAGGTAGTATGTAACTCTAATGATTTGGATTCATGGACTAACTAGAGTCTAAATTCTAGACGACGAATATATTATCGAAGATACTATATTTACAGCAATGACTCGATACTAGTCCACTACTCCCCGAGCACCTTTTCTAATTACAATCCTTCTGTCTCCAACTGCTTTGAATTGGCATCACTTCAACATTGTTATGCTTTTAAATCCAAGATCACGAACTACTATCGAGGTAATACTGTACTTAGGCTGGACATCTGAACGCAGAGGTCTTATAATAAGTTATCAGCGTCTCAGAGAAAGTCCTAAAGGCCCTAGAAGTCCTGATTGATCATTAAAGAAACCGTAACTACAGTAACGTTTCGATACTAGTCCCTTTCTCAAATATCTTCCCTAATCAGTATTTCCTCATCTTCAGCTTCTGCTCCAAGTAAGGACACTTGAATACCGTTCACGATTCAAGACACCGATCTACCATCGAGGAAGTACCGTGCAATCATCGCAAGATCGATCAAAGAGTCGCGTTACACGAGAAAAGCCATTCTCTCGGTGAACCGCGTCCTTGCCTCCGCGCACGCAGCGTCATTGAAATTCCATTTTAAAAAATCACGCACTTCGACCGATGAATAATTAAACCTTCCACAGGAAACAAGCATCCGCGAGCTACACTTAACAAGCACATTTGCCCACGAGTCCGTTTTCCCTGGAATATTCATCAGATCGACGAACTCCCATAAAAGATAAAATTCATTGTACAACAAATTCCACAAAACGATGCAACTGTCGTTCACACGGTCGAAACGACCCAGATCGTACGATCAATCGTTCGAAAAATCATCTATGGAATTTCAATTCTCGATCCAAAACCGTCAAACCTCAAAACGTTAGCCTCCTGGACCTATCAACGACTGCTCCAAGACGATCTCCGACCGATCCATTGACCAGTCGCTAGCAATCATCCTCTTTTTTACGCCTCTGGTCACCGATTCACAAACAGGCCAGGTGTAACACGTGACGATAACGCGAAATGCATTTCCAGCGCGTGGTATTTACACAGGTAATCGACCACACGCGACGCATATTTGCTCTGTACCGATAGGCCTCTAGAACCGTGTCACCGTGACCACCTGTGGAGAAACACCTCCACGAGGATCGAGATCAATCGATGATCGCCGCGTTACCCTTCGATTCAACAGTTCCAGAAAAACCGTGATATTTCGGAGCCGATCTTCTTTAATTGTAGGTACTGTTCTCCAGCGACTCACCTGACCGTAAATCGTTGGAGGACATTGTAATTCGACGTACCACTCGCACTACACTGACGCGACCACGGTGTCGTGCTATACACACAGGGAGGGGATCGCGAGGAATAGATCCGCGCGGCCGTTCGGCACGACTGTTTCTGTGAACGGGTACGATCGTACGGAATTTATCGCGGCGGGGCACGTGGCGGCGACTCCGTTGATTCAAGCTCCTCCACCAGGCGCGTCGTCGTCACCAACAACTCCGTTACGGTTTATTTTCGATCCAGTGAATACCTCCCGGTCGCGTTTCGACTTCTAGTTACCGCAACAAAGTCGCTTGGTCCCTGTGCAATTCCATTTGTGAACGATGCACGGCCTGGTGAAGAAAGGAATCTGATGACTTAATTGTTCTATCCATGCCGTGTCGGTCACCGTCGCAGAAACTTCCGTCCACGACACGTCGGTCATCAGTGTCAACGACGTAAAAGTTCACGACGTGTCGGTCATATTGGTCGGAAAATTTTGGCGTCCTAGATCCTAGATCATGGTCTACTATCGGGGCAATACTGTAGTCAGACTTGAGGAGTGAACACGGAGTTACTAAGACCGCGTAATCATAGATCAAGATCATTACCTATCACCTAGACACCGGGAAAATATAACAGAAAAAATGTAAGTACAGTAGTGCTTCGATACTAGTCCCTTTCTGATCAGAGTTTTCCTATTCTAAGATTTTATTTCGAATGAGATTGCTTGAATTTTGTTAGAGTTCGTGATTAAGGGAAACGACATTTTGATAAATTCATTGCACGTGCTGATTCAACAATCGTCGACGGAGACCTTTGTCGGTTCTCTGAAATTCAAGGAACGACACTGGTTGTTAGAAGTAACTCCTGACTGTTCAGTCAAAGGTAATCTATACCTCATGATTAATTGTACCCAGAAAGTGACGAATTGTTCCAAATGGAATCGTTCTCCACAAATGAAGCTCGCTAATGGCTCTTCTTTGTAAATTAATGTTCTTTGGACTTGAAAATCCTTTATCAGAATTTCCCATTAAACCGTGGAAATTGTGATTATTCGATGGAAAATAAATCAGAAACGCCAAGACAAACAGAAAACACACCGTCAAAATGTTCAAGAAATTCCATTTTTCTCAAGAACACTGCTCCGTATATTCTAACCTAAAAATTTTTTTTATTAAACGCTTCAAGGGTCAGGAAATCGAAAATGTAACGAATTACTGTTAAAACGTATCAAATTTATTTCTACGCGCCATCTCGCCCCTCGTTTGCCTCTGAAACTCGTCGATCAGGTACCTCCGACTTGTGGACCGTTTCTGGTTAAACATTAGGTCGATGTAACTGCGGGCGACGGGCGTGGTGGACGCAATTAAAAGTTTCCACGAGGCGACACCGCCGCGGGTAATTTCCGTGCACGCCCGCGCGCCTCACTAATTCCGTTATTTCGTATTTCCACGCGGAACCGCCCCAACTCGGACGGATCAACCGTTGTTCACCTACGACTTTCACTAACGACCAGCGAATTCGTGTCTAGCAAGCCGTCACTAGGGCGAGAAATACTGGAATATTCGTTAATTACGCCAATATTCGCCCACGTTTTATTAGAAAAACTTTTGTGGGCGTGATTTAGAAATTTGGAAAACCAATTTGTGGTCTCTATTAAGTCTTATTCGCGAATTGATATGTTTATAAAATATTAGCTTGGTAGATAAAACAATTTTTGGTGGATTTACGGCGATAGGCTCCGCCCACAAACTTCGCCCCGCCCCCTCCACCTAGTAGAAATTTTCAAGAACAAGTCCAGTGTCTGGCGAGCCGTCACTCGGCGCGAGAGACTAATCGAATATTCATTCAATTGCGCAAATTCGACTGACCTTTATGTGACCCGACACAGATAAATTTCTTTAGAAAGACCTTGTGGGCGTGATTTAAAAGTTTGGAGAACCAGTTTTTGGTCTCCATTAAGCCCTATTTGCAAACCGATATGTTTGTAAAATATGAACTCGATAAATAAAACAGTTTATGGGCGAGTTACCGTGACAGGCTCCGCCCACAAACTACGCCCCGTCCCCCGCCCAATTGGAATTTTTTAAGAACGAGTTCAGAGGCAATTCCACGGACATGATTTACAATATGGAATACTTTGTACATAATCGAATCGACCGGGATCAGTCTGTGACCGAGAAATCCTCCTCGCGTGGAACATTCTTTGCTCGCCACACACCATGAATCGAGGAGGAAGGCTCCTCCCACTCGCAAGTACTGCAGCCACAGAGAGCCAGCTCCGCTTTCGGTTTACAACACGATTAGGATTTCTCGGTTGGATCGTGAATCGTGAACCACCGGAATGTCATTACTCGCCTGGAACAGAGACAAGGAATGATCTACATCGGTCAATACGAAATCATGCAACACAGTAAATCATCGATGAGTGTTCGAAGTCGCTGAACATTCAATATTTCATGAACTACTGGCCATATGTGGCTGAAAGAAATATCACTGACTTCAGAATTCCAAACACTATCGCAGTACTAAATTTCATTAAAAAGTTAACGTTACACCTGGAGACCTCTCCTGGTCAGTGCCGAGGAGCCTTCGAACACTCATCGACGATTTACTGTACGGTGAATATATCCTCAAAACATGAAATTGCAGAACTTGTAGAACTATACCCATTATTATCGTGCAACCGAATTAATCATTACTGATAGTTCCTAGCTGACAACTTCTAAAATTTCATCAATTATATTAATTCAATTCCAGGAACGACATCTCTAAAATGAAGATACGAATGAACCCACCTTCACGATGATCCCCTTTACGTCTCCACGCTACGTAGGTTCCCATTCGCCCCAAGATGATCCTTGTAAAGAAACAGTCCCCGATACAATAACGAGGCGACAAGTGATCCACAGATGGGTCCCAGCCAGTAGACCCAATGGTGTCCCCAGTAACCGTTCCAAACCGCAGGGCCCAGTGTCCTCGCGGGATTCATGCTGCAGCCTGTGTAGGGGATGAAGATGAAGCACAATGCGGAGATGCAAAGGCCGAACCTCAGGGACGCTGAGTCCGAATTCCTAGCGTTCCTATGGTCCCAAAGGCCGCATGCGAAGAAGACCAGGATCCCAGTGGCTAACATTTCTGCGAAAAAGCCGTGGAGATCGCTTAGTTTCTCGTTGATGTCCGTCATGCAGAAGTTCATCGCTGTGTCTGGCGTGGCGGCAAAGATCAGTTCCACTGGGGTGATCACCTGTTGGGACCAAAGGGGTTGGTATGACTGATTTGTGGACCTGTCAGTGATTAGGTGTAGCGTTCCAGGGAGGTTCAGTTACCCTTAGGAGACCGTAGCCGGTCAATGCACCGACGCACTGGGACAGAATGTAGACCACTGTCATGGGTAGCGATTTTGTACCGAGGACCAACGCGGCCAATGTTATGCAGGGGTTGATGTGGGCGCCACTGATGTGTCCTACGCACTGGAAACAACAGATTGCGAATTGCAGGTTTCATTGATGCGAAGATTGTGAGGGATAGAAGTGGGGGATTTTGAAGGGAAGTGGGATTTAACGTGGTCTTTACCTGTATAGCGATCATCACGGCGAGACCGAAGGTCAAGGAGATCTGCAGGACACCAGGAACGATACCCAGACTCCCTATGCATCCTGTGCAACCGATGAAGACCAATATCGCTGTTCCAATGAACTCTGCGATGGCGGTGTTTAGGACCTCACGTGCGGTAGCATCCTCCTTTAGCAAGTTGCTCAGCCCTGAAATAGAAAATAGTGGATTTCCGAAGCCGAAATGCTTAGAATCTTGAGTCCTTACCGATTAGATACGTCCTAAAAATCTTAGACGTCACCAATGTCATCAAAGTCCTGAATGTTTTTATAGCGTCCAAAGTGCCTTCTAGTCTTATCAAAATATTAAAGACTTTGAAGACTATTAAGACCTTAAATACCTTCGAGAGTTTCAAGATTTTCGACTTCCAACACTTTCAGGAGCAATCGAATTCTCAAACGACTCAAGACGTACCAAGACTTTCAAAAGTTCTGAGTACTGAATCGTGTTAGAAGTAACTCGAAGTGCTTCGGAGCCAATCACCAATTACAATGCTTCCAAGGAACAGACCGCGTGTGGCTATGGTCTTGAAAGGCGCTGTAGACTGTAACGATTCCATTCGGGCCATGGGGGAATGTCGATGTGAGCAAAAAGGATGAAATTTCGCGTGCCCTATTGTCGATTCCACCCGCGAGCTGGCATCGACCGAGCGTGCAGACTCGCGGATTCCCTTAATGAGCCTGGGCCTCCTCCGACGTAATTAGGAAAATTGCAGCCGATCGAGCGTGCGGCTTCTCCGCCTGGGCGATATTATTCCTCGTGAAACCGGGTCGAACGATAATGAAACCAGACCGCCCTCCATGATATTCGAATCCTCTTTTTCTCCTTTCTTCCTCTCCATTAGGCGTCCATAGACCAGAAGTGAACAGGGACATAATTTAGAATAGGGACCTAGCAATAGGGACCTTATGACACCGAATTTATTTGGAATTTTCTAGACCCCAAAGTGCAGTTCCTGGAACTGGAGAGAGTGCCAGGACGAGCCACGAGATTCTGGAAGTTGGGACGGTACTTTTGAACTTTCGACCTTCCCACCCGAGAAGTTGCTCGAGCGCGATTAACCTGTAAACTAACGGTGTTGAGGGCCAAGCCAGGATTTCGATGGAAGTTCCAAGTGAACCAACTCGGGTCCTCGCTTCGTAGAACGAAACTAGTCATGTGGAGATGATTTTTCGACGCCAATAGCCTCATTGTCTCTAATTTCGGAATTATAACCTATAAAGGGTAGGTGGTCTGGATTGTTTGGGCTTGTTTGCAATGGTGTGGAAATTGGAACCCATTTCTGAGCAAGATTCTCTTGGCAGACTCGTTACTATTACATATATTCGGTCCGTCAAAGTGAAACCGCCCCTTAAAGGTTAATCTGGGTTTACTTATTTTCCTGTATATCTCGAAAACTATAGTCGATATGAAAAAACTGTTGGAATGAAAATTTAATGTCTTCTTATGCTGTATAAAAGTGTGTAGTGGAATTGTTAAAAATTTGTTTCTTAAATAAATAAATAAGTAAATAAACATATTTTTAACAATTTCATTACACACCTTTACAAAGCATAAAAAAGCTTTAAATTTTCATTATGACACTTTTCTAATATCTACTATAGTTTTCAAGGTATATACAAAAACAGAGAAACACACGTTGACATCCAAGGGGTGGTTTCATCCTGAAGAACCGAATATTACCGAAAACTAAAATGCCTGATGCTTCTGTCAAGACACCGTACAAACCTGGAGAGTTTAAAAAAATTTTTCGAGGTACCGAAGTTCTCTTGTCAGACTACAGAAATCGTGTTACGAAGATTCCGCGCGTTCTATTGACTCGAAAATTCGCCTAACTTTATGATAGATCTCGACGTGGGAACTAAGTTTCGAAGTTTAGAGGTTTCCCATCGGGAGGGGGGACACAGAATCACGGGTACTAGTGATTAACCGTGCGTCGGTCGGATATGATTAGAAGCCAACACGTGTCACGCGCAATTTCCATTAGCGAATGTGCCATACACGGGATGACAGTGATCGTTCATTGATGTATGACGATCGACCTGACTGCTGGCTGACTGAGACCTCGACAGGTAAAAAGAGAACTGCTGGAATCACTATTTCCCTAGGCGAAGTTTCTAGAGAATTGAGGGATGATCCCTGAATATATTTGAATTAAGGCTCTGGTCTCGCTGTTGAATGGAATCTTGAATGAAAAAGTCTTCAGTAGAGCTAGAAGTTTATTCAAAAGGACGGAAAATGATCCACCAAAACGGCCCTGCTCAGAATCAAGCTGAAATTTCACTGGAAAATTAGTGTAAATGAGGTCTGATGTTTGGTAATATTGGATTTTTTAATTAGGGGTTCTCTCCTTAAACGAAGTCGTGAATGAAAAAGTCGTGTTTGCCATTGGTACTTCGGTTAAATAAGCGTATAAGACTCCAGCAAAGAGGCGCCGTCCAAAAATAGATTGGAATTCTTCCATCGAACCAGAATGTTGATGCCTGATTATCATTGGGTCAAAGCACTTCCTGTGACAAGCTTCGAACATACTGACCTCACAAAAATAATCGTTTCCCTAATGAAATGCCTTTTTCTATTATGCTTGAATTACATTGCAACATCAGCAACCATCTCCAATGTAGTTGTAAATTAATTCAACAATGGTCTAAGAGGCTTTTAAAGGATCATCAATAAAATTGCTGATAAAATCGAGCAGGAAAAAGCGAATTTCAAAGTTGTATTCCGATCCATATGCAACGAATTACATAAAATCGTGACGTAAATGGTTTTGATAAGATCACTCGCGTAGAAATAATTACCGAACCGTTTCTCTGTTCATCGTGTAACCACGTATTTTTTTAACAAATATGAGGAAGCGTCCAAAACTGTTGCATCTTCGTCCTTTAATCATTTTTATCTTTTCATGAAACATTCATTTCACGTTATGTATACTTAGATTCCTTAACAAAAAACGTTTCTTAACGTTGCAATGTCCGATTGAGTAATCAAGTTCTTATGAAACACTTGTGGCTTCAAGATAATCACCACTGTTTGACGGTCTATATTATTGAAAACATCTCACGAAGTACTCAGTTTTCCGCCATTTTGTTCTGGTGTTATTCGATGCAGAATATTCCAGAGAATTGGTCTAGCCAAAAGTAGTATACACTTCCATTCAAAAAACACGTTTTCTCCTTAGATTTCTAGAAAAACTCGTTCTTTTTTTTATATCTGACGTTTATATATGGCTCAAAGTGATTGTTTCCAGAAATAAGGTAACGTCCAACCGTGGCGATCACGTGGATTCTCCTTTCAACAGGAGAACAACTATCTCTTCATCTTAATTGCCAATGAAATTGCGATGCGAGCGATGAGTATAGGTGTTGCCGGTAATTACGATGAAAGTTACCCGTAATTAGGGATCGAGAAAGTAACGGGCTGCTGGATTTAGAAAATAGTGAAAGGATTCATGTTTGGAAAGCACGCAAGAAAAACCAGGCGTTCGAAGTAAAGAACCCCTCGCGCGCATTAGCGCGCCACCTATGATAAAACGGTCAACTTTTTTTTCGCCATTATCCTCGATCGATAAGAAGGAATCTTTTTACCGGCACGCTAAAAAGTATGCGCCAGGTGATAATCAAGTGTTTTATTTCGAAAATTCATTGTTTATACAGAAATATAAATCGATGTAACGTATAATAAGAGAAAAACCTCAATCTTTTTAGTTTTGTGACTTTCACCACTTTCAATAATCACCGACCTATTTTACAAACCGTTCACTTTTCCACCATCATAACCTAATACTTTTCTCCGCAGAAAGTTCCAATGCATCGACCCAGGTGAACAGAATATGCGCGACCATTCAGAAAAAGACAGTGAATTCTCCATTACATCGTTACACTTGTGGAATATGAGACCCCAAGAATGAACGTACTACTTTTTATTCATAACATCGAACGAACAGGTTTTGTTTTTTTTTTTTTTTTTCGATCTATAGGTTTAAGGTCAACGACAGGTATATAGTTTCGAATTTGAATGAACACCGTGATTCATACTTGACGAGGAAGCACCGTTACTCCCGGCTTGTCCGTTGCACAGGAGACGTAGAGAATGGAGGAAAAAGGGGAACCGTGCGACCGATTCGTTGACCCACGGCGTTCACCGAGAACTTGACCCACTGTCACACTTGCGTGAAACGTCGCCGTGCACGCGTTCCTTATGTCCGAGCCTCTGGGAACCGATCTCGACCTTGTAAAGCGAACACCTGATCGCGTTGTAAACAATCTTTTTATGACAAGTTCATCTCTGGAATTATAATGGTCAACGTCATACAGGGTGGCCCGATTGAATGATATTACCTGATTCTTTACTCTATATAAACTTGAAACTTTTCAGGAAAAGTTGCTCTGTTTCAAGGGACACGTGTAACGGTGAAAAGAATTCTTTCCCACGGTCATTTTTTTACGAACTTTCGAGGTCATTGGTATTTTTCTTCAACCATAACCGTATATTGTTTTCTCGATATTTATTTTTGAGATATTTGCGTTTGAAAATAATTGAAATAAAATCTTTAGGGAATATTAATTATCTTCAGACCTAAATATCTTGAGATTACATTGTCGTAATGGAAATATAGGATGTATAGGAGAGAAGAAAAAGAAACATAGGATTTCATTTTAAAAAAAATATCAGTAACCTTGAAATCTCGTGAGAATAGTGAACTTGAAAAAAAAATTCTTTCGACCGTTACACGTGTGCCCCTTGAAATATAGCAACTTTGTTTTCTCATACAGCAATTGAAGATCGATGCGTTCGATTGCGGAACGTATTTGTGTTCGCTCCGAGATAGCCTGTTTAATTCAAATTTCATTTAGTTTCTAGCTGATCAGTTTGTCTCCTGATAGGCTCGTTTTACCGTTCACTAGCGGCACGATTAGATCGTTGTGATTTACCAGAAATTTAAGACCCCTCGAGTGTCTCGAGATTAATTAATTAACAGCGTGACGTAACTCGAACGAAATTGTTTACAATCTATTTTTCAAATCTCCACGATGAAACATTCAGATTAGTAGAGAGATTAAATCTAAAACGATTAAGTACGACTATATATATGTATAAACTCGAAATATAACCTACAAAAAAAATTGATTATTCGGTTGCTATTCAAGGCCAAGCGGGAAAATCGTGATGGGCGGGATATTTGTAACAGTGGAAACGATTAAATTTAAACTGAGGTAACGGTGAATTCGACGGTGCAGAGAAACAATAGCGAGCTTTCTTAAGCTAATGATAGAAAGTTCCGTTCGAATCAATTTCTGTTTTCCCCGCAATTTAGCTCTAGATCCGTGGCGCGCGCGAAAGCTTCCAAGATCGAGGACTACTTCTTGCCCGAGCGTTCCACGCTCCAATTAACCTCCCATCCGTAGTTTCCGGTTCGCGTTTCCGCGAGCATCTCTTCGAGTTCCCTGAATTCCAACGGAACAAAACCGAACCAACACGACTGAGGAAAGTAATTCTACGTGTGAACTAGATTGAAATTTAAAAAAAAATTTTTTTCATTGTTCTATCATTCACTCTGTTCGAACTAGCAGATGTTCGAGCGTCAAGGTCGTCAGGTAGACAATGGTTTTGTCCGTGAATATGGACGAGGGAAATAGTGTTATCTGGTTTTTTTCCAAGCGTAATGGGACATCTGTTGCGCGCCTAGAGTACAGTAACCCGATTGCCTGGAAACGTAACGCTTTCTTTCCTTTCGCCCAATCACGTGGCCCCGTTACTGTCTCACGGGGAGGGACGGGACGTCTGCATGTCGCGCGTTGCATCAGGAGCATAAGGCCACCGTCCATCCAACTGTGTCCCCTAATCACGCTAATCATCTCGAGCATGTAATAGTTATCGATCGACTAATTGGAGAATTGGAATCGCATACACCGATTACTCTCTTGAACGGACGTCTCTGAATAGGGACCGACTGGGATGAATGAGTGTCTTTCACTACAGGTGAAAGGAGGGTCGAGACAAGATTAGGTTATGTTGCAGGGGATCCAAGGACCAAACGGAATATTTATCAATGGCAATTGGCCGATGCAGTGTCGTTTACCCCTAAAATAGGAGGATTGAACCAAGTTGTTATTTGTTTGGAGGACAAGAAGATGATTGATGAACCAAAATAGTATTTAAAGGAAAACAATGGGTTGAAATATGGAAGACAAGATAGTCTAACACATTAACCGGGGTCAAAGTAAGATTCTTAACCTATAATGTGTACACTTTGTAGACACACGAATCTTGAGGCGTGACGGGTTGAAGTTTTGATGCACGCCTGGTAATTAGGCGAGGCAATTCTAAGCAGAGCGTTCCAAGAAAATGATTAATGATCCGTGCTGCGTGCGTTTCCCGCGACGCGACGGAAAGAAAGTTCCCCCGCGAAAGTATCTGGAACGTGGAGAACGGAGAGAAACGTGGGGTCACGTGCCCCCCCCCCTTCGGTGCGTCCGCGCTCGATATCACGAGAAAACGGAATCACTCTTTTTCTCTTTCCAGGCCACAAAGGACATTGTTTCGCGTCATTTGCATTCCCCCTGTGTCACCTGCAACCTGTTACATTATTACTGAAACGATCGTGAGAATCACAGCGTGGATCCATAAATCAGGGTGTCCAAAAATCAGAAATAAATCAACGCTGTGGTAAACATAGATTTAGTTTAATTTAGTGTTTCTCGATGAGATTACGGTGGAAGATAGGAAGATCTATAGGAGGCAGATAACGCTAGACTACTGGGCGGCAAGTGGAAACGGTCAACGATGATCAGAACCAATAGAACGCGAGCTCGATATCGAAACCCCTATGTTGGATTTTCTCGAAAATGAGGAGTCCAGTAGAAAAACTTTATTCTACATTTTTTATCAGTTCTTCGACGTAGAACCACCTATTCTTCAGTACCTCTAAATACACTCTACAAAAAAATAGAGGGCTTTCTAGAGAAGGACATTTCTCCAGGATCTCCTTTGCCCAATGAATTCAGGGAACAGATTGTAAGGAGCACGATTCATGAAAGTGGAAAACATTGTATCGTAGAATAGAAATTTAGACAAGATAGGAAATCCATTAATAAGCACTCACACGGAGTTTTGAACTTCTCCTTGGCCGCCTGTAGACTTGGCCTGGAGCTGAACGTGATCCCGATGCTCTTTGACTTGCCCACCGAACTTTCCGTGATCCCGGTCGGTGTTATTATCGACACGCCACCTTGCTCCATATTGTGGCTGATTTATTGAGCGTCGATCCAGCCGGTCTGTCTGCTGAAATTTACGGGGTGTCATTAGTACCGAGCGAAATAGCAGAAAGATAGCCGCTTTCATCGAATTAATTAGAATTCCATTAGAATACCTCTAGAATACTTTGAGTACATTCTCAGAGGAAAACTCCTATACAGAGCAATTCTTTAAGGAAAAATACATCGAAAATGTGCAATACAATTTCCCTGTAAATGTTCTTGTTCTTGAGGAAATCAAGTTTGAGCCAAACGGACGCAATCGGTGCTCAAACTTGATTTTCTCGAGAACGAAGCCTCGTATCCAAAAAATGTATTACACGTTTCTCATTCACTTTTCATTTACAAATCGATCCCCATTCAGTTCAAACGTGGTACATTACACTGGAGCGTGTACGCATACCTCCAAGTCGCTTGTAAACAAGCGTAGCGTGACACTTGTCACGGGATCCGATGAAATACAATTGCGTTCGGCAAATACCGGCGGATTACACTCTGTAAACACGTTCACTGGGGGATTCGTGGGTATGTCGCGCAAGAAACGATCGTAAATCGATACTGATGGGGCGATCCAACGGCCGTAAATCGCTCCAGATACGTGGGACGATCGGCTCAAGAAAAATGGAACACTCGGATAGGGTTGTGTATATCGAGCAAATTGACTTGTAAAGATCACTTCCAGTGATTTTCACCCGAGATTCAAAGATTCGCCAGAATGATGGATCCTATTGGTTTTTCGAGTATGGATCATTGATTCGATTATGGATCAACAACCGTATATTAACTCGAGTATCCAACGAACGTCGATTATACTCTTAATTGCATAGAATTTGTTATTGTTATCGATGAACCTTCCCTGGAGTCGAAGTCCATGGAAAGCTTTGAATTTTCCGCGATACACTACGTGTAGTCGGTAGCCATTATCGATAATCCAAATTAATCCATGCCCAAGGGTTACTCGATAACAGTGTAATCTCCACGCAGATCGTTGGAAACATTGATACGTTATCGGATGAATATTTCGTACGAAAGTCGTTCAAACTAACATCGATTCTTTTTAAATTCCGTCTAAAATCCTCTGAAGGTTCAGAGGAAGAAAGAGGGAATCAAAGCTCAGGCTGATTCAAAAGAAATTTCTCTTTAAAGACCACCCAAGACTCGGAGGATCATAATATCACTATTGTGCGTTGGTTACCATTGATGTCTCGGCAAACTTTTTAATTGAACATCTGTGCAAAGCAGTGCGCTCATAATATCGCGTAATTTCAGTGGATAGGAAGTTGAGACTCACCCAAGATAGTATTCTCGGTTCAGGTGTTTCTCGAAGGGACCAAGTGGAGATCACCGAAAAACACTCGTCACTCGATCGTGGATCGATCTACACATAAAAAATGGTTGCGAACGGATTGGAATGGACGCGTTTCGATGCTCGGATGTCGCGTGGCTTCGGCCAGACTGAGTCGTTTCGCGAGCCGCGGCCACCTCTATATGTAGACGGTCTCCACCTCTGCGGGACCGACGACGGGCTCCCGTTACACGGCCAGCATTCTACGGACGAGCATCGGCAGGAGCTACTGCTCCTGCCAAATTCTTCTTCGCCGTGACACAATTCCTCATGGTTTTATGTATTCCGAAACGATGGGAACCGCTTAACGTAGTACTACGACCCTTCAATTTAGATGAACAGTTAGGTTTCGAGACACTGACTGGGCCCTATCGATCATAAAACGCCGCGAGCTTTCGTGATTAACGCTGGGTATCCACTTGAGAACAACTATCGAGGTCTACTCACTGGAATATTCGATACATTAATTAGTGATTCACTGAGGTTTCAATATTACGATCTTTAGGTTACTCGAAATGGTTGGAAGAATATTGTACCTCGACAGGTGGTGGATTTGAAGCCTAAGCGGCGTATCCACTTGAGAACAACTATCGAGGTCTACTCATTGGAATATTCGATACATTAATTAGTGATTCACTAAGGTTTCAATATCATGAGCTTTAGGTTACTCGAAATGGTTGGAAGAATATTGTACCTCGACAGGTGGTGGATTTGAAGCCTAAGCGACGTATCCACTTGAGAACAACTATCGGGGTGTGCTCACTGGAATATTAGGTGCATAAATAAGTGATTCACTGTGGTTTCAGTATTGATGATCATATAGTTTAAATTCAGAATATTGTACTTTGGAAAGTAGTGGATTTGTGAGTTAATGAAAAATGTGTAATTATTTCGACAGAAAGATCGCGTTCGAAAATAGTAATGGCAACGAAAATACACGGCATAGTGGCTGTTTGGCCACGTAAATAGAATCCTCGTTGGCAAATATTCCCGCTTTATTTCTAGATGCGTCGCGCGTCGGTTACATAATTCTCATTATTTCCACGCGAAGCATTTCAGCCCGTGTCGCGTGTACAAGAGGCAACGAATCGATCTGATCTGGGGCCCATTATCAGCCGATAACGCAGCGTCTTCGGTCGCGTATGATAACATTTACACTTCGAGATAGATGTCTCGTATTCGACACGAATGTACACCTAGTCCTTTGTCTGTGGCACACCTGACTCTTTCGGAATCAGATGTAGCATCTTGTCGGTAAATGTACCCTCCGCAAAAATTGCAGGAATACGGGATCGTTCATTGGGGGGATTCGATCGTTGCATAATTATTGAGTAATTCTGTCGAAGCTGTTAGCAAACATTCGGTCGTGCTCGGTATGTTTGGAGAGGAAGCGATTAAAGGCGACCGTGTTCCGTGACGCCGGTTCAGCCAGCTAGACCAAACTCTTTCATGTGTTCTCTTCCTTTTTTCTTTCATTCTTTCACGCTGTAATCGGTCCTGTGCAGAGTTACAATTTCAATCGAATACTACCTAGTGTCGAACCTTAACAGTCCGAGCCTTAATTATGCAACAAACTATGCGTTTGACAGGTTCTAAGGCCTCCCCCACTCCCCAGTGGTGGGGATAACGCCTGGACAATAATCGTGTAGAACAAGCCTGACGATAATCGAGAGTAGTCTGTAGTTACTTTATTGTAAAAAAAATCGGAATTTCCACGTTTAATCAATCAAAAGTGACGAAATACTTTTTTTTTTCTTATCTTTTATTCGTTATTCGGTACTCTTTATCTAGAATTAGCCCATCTCTGTGTTCTGTACACTTGTTCAAATGATTCGTGCCGTTCCCGCCATAAGCCAATGTGGCTTCCTCCGGCACGAATTATTTGCTCGAGAAGATCGAAGCAGATGGAGAACGATCCCGTCAAATCCGAGCAATTTGCTCGACCTTATCGCTGCCCACCCACGCCTTTCATCCGCTGCTAATGCCATTGTACATATTTGCCTGGACGATTAGGCTAATCGTCGGTCTTTGCCACTGTCAGTAAATCTGTCGACCGTAATCGTATCGGTTTTGACAAGTCGCGATATCGAACTAATTTATTCGGGTCTCATTACTCCTTGTTATCTCGACGGAATTAGTTCGTCGAGCTTTGCGTACAAACGACTGACATGCTGCTGATTTTTTAGGTGGTCGAATGACTGCAGAAAGCCTCGAAAAAGAGGTTATGACGGTTCAGATTTGATTTTACATTATTTGCATTTTGGCTCTGCACCAAAGAACACATTCTTAATAATCCATATATACTCCATACGCTCAGATTTGACTCCAGAATTGCTTTATCGTAAATAGTTCCCCAGAAACAAAAGGAATTCTTGTACTTATCGCAATTGTACATTTACTCTAACAGTAAAATATTAATATCATCAAACTTTCACTTTGACTCAAAGAAAACGAATAATATTTACGTTTGTTGAATCCATTTTGACATCGTCACCACGAGTCTGACTCGATGTTATAAGGCAAAGGGTTAATGATTCAATGATTTTCAGGTGTCCACCACATTGTCAGACATTTTTGAGCCATTCAATCTCTGGAAACGCAACGGAAGCCAGGCTATCGCGACTTATTGAGGGGAGGTCGATCAACGGACAGAACCAGTGCTCGTCGATCGATCACGTCGCCGTCTGTGATCGATGCCCGAGCCTCTTTGTTCGACCACCGACTCGGTGGTGGGGGTAGAAAAAAAATCAGGTGATCGATGAAGCCAGGAATAAAAGTCAACGATAACGCCGGCCTGTTGGAGAAGGATAACAACCGATCGGTAAAAAGCCCTCTCCTCGTTCGTGTTATGTCTCTAGAACTCTCGGGCAGCCGAGGACAACAAAAGGAGGATAAATAATGTATCCGGCGTGTGTAATCGCTACGTAGCTCCCGTTTCGTGTCGCCGCGAAAGGAGCAGTAGGTCACCGATGGTTTTTCTCGGTATTAAAGCCGGTAAAACAAACGGGAGGAGCCCTGACCTCCTCCAATTCCACCGTAGAACGCGGTTGTCGACGAGAAATGAACAGGCATAGTCGATACCCTCTGGATCCTCCTCGACGCAACAACCCCGATAACCAGTTGTGCAAAAGTTTTCTAAATAATGACAAAAGCTATCTAAAAAAAAAAACCATAACCATCTGTTTCCACATTTGGCTTGGGTTTTTGCAGGCAACGCCAGCTAACAAAATGATCAAGCAAATTGGCAGCAAGCCTTGCAACATAACCTGTGTCAATTTGGGGACAAACACGGAATTCTGCGCGGAAGCAATTTGTTGCGTATGTTGTTTATAACAAATCTTGCATCGAACTTGTAGCCCATAACAGACATTGGACAAAATTTGACTTTGCAGGTTTCGATGTAGTAAAAGTAATATTTCTGTACTGGGCCAACTTTTCTTGATGTCCTTTCGACCAAGGAAACGGAAAGTATTAAAAAGGACACAGGGTGGATGAGATTGGATGAGCACCGATTGAGGGAATGTGGAAGTTGTCCTAACCTAAAATAAATTAGATAGATCATGATAGGATCGAAGAAAGAGTTATGGTACTAACGATCCTAGCCGCGGGAATGTCTCTCCTTTCCCTTTTCACCAAGAAACTCTATCGCTTCCGGCTACCGGACCTCTACGATGCTGTATGTCTAGCCCAGTTTCCTCGAACCGCGACGACCAGGAAGCATATGGCGAACTAGTTCTTGCCCGGATAACCAGGTCCCGGTTTCAGACGCAAACAAAGACTGTGTTGGATCGATAGGTACTCCGTAAGTGCTCGCTGAGAGCTGCACGTTAAATGCTCGTGCGTCATATTTGCTACTGGGCGGGTTCTTCTTGGAACCAGCCAAACGATTTGCTTCTCCAACTTTCAAAGAGTCGGTGCAGTGTGGCCAGCGAAATCCCTCAATCAGGGAAAATGGCGGATGATTCTATCTTGGTAGTGGGGGAAAGTAAAGTAATGACACTATAATATAACCTATCACCAGGCCGACTCCAAGCCCATCCAAGTGTCGCAACCAATCTTTAACGCTACAATTGTGAAGTCATTACTTTACTTTCCCCCACTACCATGACAGTATAATCCGCCATTTTCCCTCAAAATCCCTCAATCTGGTCACACTGAGTCGATGGCTGGAAATTAGGAACTAGAAATAGAAAGATTAAAAGCCTTCTTGTCGACGAAATGTTTTTTCATTTGTGGTTCTTCGTTTAGTAAAAATTTTCTGAAAATAGTGCTACCATTTTTCCGATTAAAATGGGACTAAAAAGATATGTGGATTTTTATCGTTTTCGATGACGTACGAACCGATCCAATGTGATAATCGAAATTTTCGTTAACAAAGAACGAAAAATGAAAGCTTATTTACTGGTCTTGATCAGACGAAATGGCGATTTTTCAGGCGTGTCGCTTCCGGCGAGTTACCAGCCACACGAAAATCCACGGAGGTTCGCGTAGGTCATCGACCCGGTACTGAAACGTTATGCAAACCGTTGTTAGTTAACCGCCGTGGCGACCGGTTGCATAATACCGCGAATTAGACAGGAATCTCTTCGATACCATCCTTAGGATAATCCAAGTCCAGGCCCGGATTAAGATTTTTCGGGGGCCCCTTTGGTTGAAAGGGTTGAGGGGGTAAACAATTTCTGTAACAAAACATACAATAAAATACATAAATCTTCAATAATAAAAATTTAATCAAAGTAAAATTAAATAACATTTAATCATAACTAACAATACTTCGTTATATTTTAACAACTTTGATCCAATTTATTTCTACGTTTAGTGCACTTTCGAATTATTTCAAAAGGGAAACAGTAAAAATTTGATTCAATTATTTTTTTACATAAATAAAAGCCTTAAATCGGGGCCTCCTGGAAAGCGGGGCCCATGACTGCAGCCCTCCAGACCCCCCCATTGATCCAACGCTGTCCGAATCCCACAGTAAGCACTAAGCAGATCCAACGATTCCCTCCTCTCCGATAAATTCTTCCCCAACGTCGGTGTTTTTCACGTTTTGTAACGATTCTTTTTTATTTTTCCTCGAAATGGCCACTTAGGAACAGTTGCGGAAGATCAACGGCGAGAGCGCAATTACAGATTACACGCGTCGAAGCCAACCGATGAGCCACTACCGGCTTGAGAACCATTTAATCGTTCGAACAATTAACTTCTGGATGGTCGTAAAAGTGAATTTGTTTACGCGCGTGTGAACACCAGTTCCGCGATCTAATCGGGCGTGAACGCTGGCCGGGGGATTTATGAACGATTCGATCCACTTGCCCTTCGCGAGGCCAGCCCCGAAAGAAAAGGGAACAAGCCTGGTTCGCAACATAACATATTAAATGTAGTCAAGAGCAAAATTAAAAAAAAAAATTAAAAAAAACCGTGAATATGGGGGATAAACGAATAATTTAATTTACTGTTGAAATCAAAATTTGAATATTTATTAAAAGGGTGTAGAATATTGGAAAATAATTATTAATGTTAAGTGGAACAGCACAGATTCTCGATTTCCATAGAAACGAATACTGATTTCGTCAAGAAATATTGGTACACCTAATAATAACATTATCACTATTAGTGATATTAATAAATACCTAGAGAATTAGGGTTACCAGTTGTTTTAATCAAATTGAAAGGGGGTGAAATTTCACCTATGGTAGCTTGTATTGTAACATAACCTAATCCAAAGTGTTAACATTGGAACATAACCCAATTCGAAGGGTTAATAGTGGAACATAACCCCACACAATATACAGTTTTATATAACATTTTATTCTTATGCAGTCCGTATAGCCGAAGATTTCACTTTGGCGCTCTGGAATTCGTGTTAACACACGAAACTATTGAAATGTATTCAATTCAACGATTGTCATTTGCCGCCTAGCCAACTAGGGAGCGCTGTCGATCGAGAAACGTGCCGGTTTAACAGGTTAAACAATGGAAACGAATGGTATCGTCGCATAAGATCGCCCCGGTAAATCTCGTTACCCCCCTTTCTATCCTCAATTATTATTCCGCAGATCAATCCACGCGGATCCTTTCTCTTCGAAGGCGTATCTTCCTTTTTTTTACGCTCGTAATATTCCGTGTGCAAGCGAAAATGACAGGTAGACCGCACAATGCGCGACAGCCTTGAGCCCTGGGTGCTCCAAAGGGGAAGCAGGTCGACTCGATCCTGCCCACGATCCTGAATAATATACGATCTTGATTATCCGTTGCTACATTTGGCGGGATCTTGATCACCACGACGCACTAGATCCTGGAAATATGGATCGACCAGATTTTAGTCTTGAACTCGTTCAGGTTTTATGTAAGGCTTTGATAGCTCTGTTTCAGGACACTGATTTACATTTTTTGACTGGGGTAATCGTTTTTTTTTTTTTTATACAGGATGTTTCAAATTTCTTGTTCGTTTCTGTACAGTTTAATGAAGACATTGGTGGTGTACAAAAGATGTTTCATTTCTGCTGACTACAGGGAAAAAGTTACTGGAATATACAGAGTGTTTCATGTATAATTTATGCAAATAGTGTTAGCACTAATATACAGTTTCTTTCAGATCTCCTGTCCACCCACACTATACTTAATGGGAATGTTACTAGGAAGATATTCTTGATAAAGAAGAATTAAATTTAATATTCTAAATTGTATGACCAATATAGATGGAAGGACCTGTACCTAAATCCCTGCTATAGAAGAATCCTACCGTAAGAATTCAGAAAGTGGACAGATAAAAGAGACATCAAGATCGTCAAGAAAATGGGGAAAACGGGTCAAGATCGGAAAATCGCAAAAAACTGCTGGAAAAGTCCTAATAGAATAAAACCCGAGTAGTTGATTGCCTGGCGCGTTAATTGACCGGCCCGTGAAAGGACAGCTGGCGTTAATTCGATGCAGAAAATCCAGATTCGTAGATTAATCTCAGGGCGCTGCGGACAGAGTAATTATCGTGTCAGCGGCGTCGTTAATTCATCAGGAATCTCCATCCTCTTGCGGAAAGATATAATCCAGCAAGCAATTGGGTAGTCCGAGATCGCGCAAAATGGCGGAAAAATCGAATTATCTTATAGACGTGAAGCACATAATTGCATACAGAGTTTTATGGCTTTAATTGTTCTCTCCAGTGATCCATCGATTCTGTTAAAAATTCACGGTCGTCGGGAGTGTTGAGGTTATCCACGTATCGGTGGACGTAAAAGGACAGGAAAATGGCGCGAGAGGGAATGAAAATGGCAACGTCGACGAACGAAGAATGAAATATTAGGATCGAACGAGTCCATACGCGGCTATCGTTTATCAAAGTCGTTGGCGGAGAGAGAGAGAGAGAGATCTCTTGGAAAAAATACTTCCTTCGTTGGCCATTTTATCCTTCGGCGGCGCTGAAAGAACGGGGACCTCCGTCTGCCCCTTCGAAAAAAAAAAGAAGAAAAAAAAAACAGAATATATTTCATCGACGAATCTTCAAGAGTAAGACGAATTGTTTTCTCAAGGAAGGACTCGTATATAGTCATTCTTCCTCGATGATGTCAACGGACGACCGGAAACGGTGGTTTGAAAAAAACGAATTAACAAGCGTGAGAATCCTCTTTGGCCGCTGGCGAGGACCATTGTGAATTAAAATTCTGATTCTTCGAGGGATACGATGCCTGGTTTGATAATTGATAGCGTCACTATGTATGTAATGACTTAATTCTACGAATTATACACATTTTATTGCTCGGGGAATTCTGACCGATGGAATCTTCTTAGATGGGATCTACATCTGGAACGGTATTGCGTCAACAGGAAGACTTTGAATAGCACACGAAGGATGTGGAAAATGATAAAAAAATAAAGGGTGTCTGAAGCTGACCAGAACTTCTGTCTACTTGAAGTCTAAGAAAAGTACCCTAAGTCAACGATGCACGGATAACAGGCTAATGGAGAAGGCACTTCAGATAATTGAATTCCGTGCTTCGCTTCAATTCCATTAACACCTGACAGCATCCAGGCGTAAAAATTCAAAAGGGTATAGGTTAGGTAACGCTCGCGATTAGTCTTGGGGCGCAGCCTATGCCCTCCAGAGACCAGTTCGCGGTGAATGAAAGTCCGTTTCTTCCGGTGCGCGTGATTTTGTGTCGATTACACAACGGACGATCACATGTCGTCGGTCTCGAAAGTTGCAGAATACACCAGTGCAACGAAGAGCTACCATTACGGTTTATATAAGTTTCGCTGCAACCGACGTTTGCTACCCGTTACATTGCTGAAAACGCTTCACAGGGATCGTTACGCTGGCTGAAGTCCTAGCAAGGACTCGGATACTTGTACAAACGTAAAAATTTTAACGACCTAACCTAACCTGGAGGTACTATTCGAGTGACCTGGGCCCAGGCTCAATATGCAGTTCTAATTAAAAGTACAGTTTGCTACTTTGGACAGTCACAATGCCAACAATGGTTCGCCGTACAATAATTCTCAACTGCGAGGTTTTTAGTTCCCAATGTTCGGTAGACGCGAGAACACCTGAAATGTAATAATATTCCCGGACGTTAACGCGTAACAACGGAACTCGTCGGAGTTTCCAAGCTGGAATTTCGGCCAGCCTCGAAAGCTCGACCAACCGTATTCGCGCGACGCCACTCAAACTTTTGCCAACTTTAATCCGTATTAACGATGTGAGTAAATATGCAGAACGTGGCTGTGCTTTCCCGTAGACCGAGGTTTTCGGTATATTTAGTCGCTGGACGATTGCAATTTATGGACGACAGTGACTTCGAATTAGTATAAAAATTGGAATCGAATAATTTGTTTGTATAAACCAGGGAATTAGTGATGGATGGATTGTTTTATGTTTAGATTAATTGGAGACAGCATTGGTGACTATAATGAAGATTTCATATTAGTTTCAGTTCAATAAAACAAATGTGTAATCCCTTTTATTATCGAAATACATAGATCAATTATACGTGACCCAATTTTAAATTCAAATTGCTCCTTGATGGGTAACAAGGAGTTCTGCTGTACTATTCGATGCTACTGCTTTCTTTCCGACAGATACCGGTATCTTATCGACATGAGATACATTATCATAGTCGATAAGAAATGTAATAATCAATTACCAACATGATCACCATAAAGTTAATAAAAAAATAAATAACAGGCTAAACGCTATATGTATTAACTCTTTCTCGATCGTTTAATATAAAAACAAATCTATAATAAATTCTTGAATGTGTAAGTTTAAACTCAGAATGACGTGTTCGAAAAGCCCGCCATTCCTATGTACACTGTCACGTTACCAACGAACCAATTCTAACCAACTCGATATTCGCGTGGACATTTCATCAGTTCGTTGGAAAAAACTATTGGAGATTGGGATCGAACTAACGCGTCCTTTAATTGTATCGATGGAATATCGATAGAAAAGTGTTTTTATTTGTCGGTATTTCTGTGATGGGCATCTGGTGCACGCGGACGCCATTTTCGCTGCGAGCATCGGCCACGTCCTAACTTGATGGCAGGAGATTTGGATCTGTTAATGTGTTTCCATCATCAAGGGCCGTGTTGTTGAATCATCTGCGAATAATAAGCAAGTTGTGCGCTAAAAGATGGTACGTATCTGAAGGATTAATTGAACTCGAGCTTAGAATTCGTGTCACCGGTAAACACCTGTGGACACTCTGTATTGACACTGCACCTCAGCCTGCCTCGTTTGACACGTCAAAATATCCGCTCCTTGTTCATCGAACAAAAACAATTTCCTCCTATTGTGACAACCTTTCCCTGTAATTGTCACATAGAAGTTCTTCGTGCCAGTCTCAGGTCCTATATCGACTTCCATGGAATATAAAAATTTTTCGTTATGCCAGTCTTCCATGAAGATATCAATAAAATTTCACCTTTTACTCGAAACAAATCAACTATATGTACTTTCGCATACATACAGTATCGTGGAACAACACTGACTTCATTGAAAGTCTGAACATATACTCCTTTTCTTTAGCCACTCAGGTTAGATATCAAGAGGAAGCTCACTGCTCGCTCGGACAGAGTGAAGAGCGTTGATCTTCATCCGACAGAACCATGGATGCTCTGTTCATTGTACCAGGGAAATGTGAACATTTGGAACCATGAAACACAAACATTGGTCAAGACCTTTGAAGTCTGTGACCTACCGGTTCGAACAGCCAAGTTTGTGCCGCGTAAGAATTGGGTGGTCACAGGGTCGGATGACATGCAGATCAGAGTATTCAATTATAATACCCTCGAAAGGGTACATTCCTTCGAAGCACACAGTGATTATGTCAGATGTATAGCAGTGCATCCAACACAGCCATTCATACTAACCAGTAGCGGTACGTGTACTATTTCACTAATGTTTTTTGTAATTCTTGTGTACAGTTTATTTAGAGTATTAAACGCGTTCGTTTAGATGACATGTTGATCAAATTATGGAACTGGGAGAAGGCTTGGATCGGGCAGCAAATCTTCGAGGGGCACACTCACTATGTAATGCAAATTGTCTTTAATCCAAAGGACAACAACACATTCGCCAGTGCATCTTTGGACAGAACCGTGAAAGTATGGCAGCTGGGCTCCTCCACTGCCAATTTTACATTAGAAGGACACGAAAAGGGTGTCAACTGTGTGGACTATTACCATGGCGGTGATAAACCGTATCTAATATCAGGAGCTGACGACAAATATGTTAAAATATGGGACTACCAGAACAAGACTTGCGTGCAGACATTGGAAGGACACACGCAGAATATTTCAGCTGTCTGTTTCCATCCAGAATTACCTATTATTCTTACCGGTTCAGAGGATGGAACAGTCAGAATATGGCACGCTGGAACATACAGATTAGAATCTTCTTTAAATTACGGCTTCGAGAGAGTATGGACAATAGCCTGCATGCGAGGCTCGAATAATGTCGCTATCGGTTACGACGAGGGTAGCGTTATGGTGAAAGTTGGTAGAGAGGAGCCAGCAGTATCTATGGACTCATTGGGTGGTAAAATTGTCTGGGCCAAACACAGCGAAATACAACAAGTCAATCTTAAGGCCCTAGGAGAGGAAGCACAAGATGGAGAACGTCTCCCATTGGCAGTGAAAGACATGGGCGCTTGTGAAATTTATCCACAGACCATCCAACATAATCCAAATGGGAGATTCCTGGTGGTCTGTGGGGACGGAGAATACATTATTTACACATCTATGGCACTAAGAAATAAAGCATTCGGTCAAGCGTCAGAATTCGTATGGGCAGCCGACTCTAGCCAGTATGCTGTCAGAGAAAGTAATACCACTGTCAAAGTCTTCAAAAACTTCAAGGAGAAGAAAAGCTTCAAACCCGACTTTGGGGCTGACGGTAGGCACAGTGATCGCGGATAATTCTGAAAAATATTATTCTCTCCTACATAAATACTTCCTGTTGCAGGTATTTTTGGTGGATTTTTATTGGGAGTATCTTCCGGGTCAAGCCTATCCTTCTTCGACTGGGACTCGTTGAAGTTAATTCGTCGCATAGACATCCAACCGACACACGTTTATTGGGCCGAAAACGCTTCGCTGGTGGCACTGGCGACGTTCGATCAGTACTTTATACTGAAATATCATTCCGATGCTGTTGTAAATGCACCGGAGAATTCAGAGGACATCGAGACCGCGTTTGAGGTACAGAATCGACATTCCTAACGTTATTAATAAATTATTAATAATAAAACAGTATCGATAGAACGTTTGTTACTTTATAGATGGTCGCAGAAATGAGCGAAGTCGTGAAAACCGGTCTCTGGGTCGGCGATTGCTTCATCTACACAAACAGCGTGAACAGGGTGAACTATTTCGTTGGTGGTGAGGTGGTGACTGTCTCACATTTGGACAGACCGATGTATCTGCTCGGCTACGTGCCGCGGGACAACAGACTGTACTTGTGCGACAAAGAACTTTCGGTCGTCTCCTATGCCCTATTACTCTCCGTGTTGGAGTATCAGACAGCCGTCATGCGAAAAGATTTCGAAACCGCGGACAGAGTGTTGCCCACTGTTCCGAAAGAGCACCGTACCCGAGTCGCCCATTTCTTGGAGAAACAGGGCTTCAAGGAACAAGCGTTAGCGGTCTCCACGGATCCAGAGCATAGGTTCGAGCTGGCATTAGCGTTAGGGGATCTCAGCACGGCCCATACACTTGCCAAAGAAGCGAACAGTCAGCAGAAATGGCGACTGTTGGCGTCCCTGGCGACGCAAAAGGGTAAACTGTGCCTGGCGCAAGAGTGTTTGCATCAAGCGCAAGACTTCGGGGGCCTTTTGTTGCTCGCGACCAGCACCGGTAACGCGGACATGATCCAGAAACTCGGCACCGATGCAGACGACACGGGGAAAAACAATATATCGTTCTTATCGTACTTCATTCTTGGGGATATAGACAAGTGCTTGGACATTCTCATAAAAACGGACCGTATCCCGGAGGCTGCGTTCTTCGCGAGGACGTACGCTCCCAGTAAGGTCTCGCCCATTGTGAAATTGTGGAAGGAGAAGCTTTCGGCGGTCAGCGAGAAGGCTGGACAGAGTTTGGCCGATCCTGAACAGTACGAGAATCTGTTCCCTGGATACAGCGAGGCACTGAAGGTCGAACAATTCCTGAAGGAAGAAAGTAAAGAGAGAATCCCAGCTGTTGCGTTCCCGACGGTGCAGGTACGAAAGAATTGAAGCAATGTTAATCGACACCGTGCGTGCTCAGACTTTTTCACCCGACTTTCCATTCATGCCACGTAGGCCATTAACGTCCCATAACAGAATATAATGTAAACTTTTACATGTATATTGTTTTGAGGTTAGGGTGAACATTGTCGAGGCACAGAACGGGAGTTTGATCGTATTTATTGGAATGTAACTTAGGTTTTCCTGAAATATTACAGTCCAATGTCGAAAGGAAGCCTCTGGAGGAGATGTTAGCCGCAGAACAGGCGAATCTATTCACGTATACCGGCGCCACGGTGACCAGCGAACCGGAAGTGCCATCCACCGAGGTCTTGACGAACAGGTTACAGGATCTGGATATCGGTAAGGTGATCCCACCTACAATCGAGATACCAACCGTCCCGGAAACGACGAAGACCAGCAGTTCTAGGCCACTGACAGTGGATGACGATGATCTGGACCTTGATCTCGAGATCGATGATACCATCGACACGACTGTAAGCCTGTTAAAGCAGCATTTTTGTTTCTTAATCACCGTGATCGTATCCTTGTTTTTCGAGCTGTACCTGTGTAACACACTGGTCCCTTTTCTTGAATTATTTTTTGGCTTTAATGCGACCATTTTTACTGTGCATGCTGACACCTAAGTGCTTCTAATCGACACAAGTAAGTGTTCAACGCACACAAACCATATTTGTTATTTCTACGCACATACACACAATGTTACATACGGGGCTGAGGAATATTTTCAGAAATAGGGGGAATTAGAATTATTCTAGATTGTGGACCGAGTATTGTAGGAAACGAGGGAGCCATAAAGTACAATCGTCAGCTAGAACAGAATCAAAATCACGAGATAGGTGAATTGGGGTCAAATGGAAGGAATGGGGGGAGAGGATGGCGTATGAGCAGGGGGGTGCAACTATAACTTCATACCCTTAAATACAACCGGGTAACTCTAGGAGGGTATTACATTACCAAAACAGTCTGAAGCAGGACTTGTGCGTGTGTGTATCGGTGCTGGATGATCCGTGTGTGAACACGTTCCACCTATTGACCAGAACGAACGGTCTGTTAAATAAACCAGAGAAAGGTGAAACGGAGGGGGGGGGTGGAAGCAAAACAAAGAAAACAGGGTATAGCAGGTAGCGGAGACGTAGAATTTCGTTCACCATCAATCAATATAATGGATACAAAAGACATTTAACTGTATTGTAATATGGATGTTCAAAAACTGCAATAGAAATATTTACAGGATATAGGAAAATTAGGTTTCTCATGTTTTTATCGGTTAAACAGTCTCGGAGTTAATGTTACAGTGATTTTTAAAAGAAACTTTAATATCGTTACTCTGTGCTGTGAAACCCATGGTGGTGGGGGGGGGAGGGGGGCATGGGACCATTAAGGCTTGTTGACTTCACGCCAGTCACGGTTCATTTTCTTTACAGCCTTATTGCCATAACACTCCGACACAGGCACCCCACCTGAAACCCTCTACCGTACCTCATTATGCTTTCCTTTATCAGACCACAAACATTTTCTTCATGGTGGTGTAACAATCGTCGTGTTATAGTAAACTGTGCAGTCAGCTCGAACCTGTTAACCAGAGAAGACGAGTTAAATCGCTATTTGCATATAACATTTTTATTGCATATAAATCAAGATAATTTTTAGTTTTATATTTTTATTAAAAGATTTTGTATCTAATAGCTGAAATTAAATCATTATTAGTCACTTTTAATCGCGTTCATGTGGACGTTAGCGGTTCGAAGATCATCCTGTTGACAGGTTAGGTTTGCACAGTGGAGTGGACAGTGAAGAAAAGTGGATTTATCGTGGAAAGTGTCATAACCATCGGGATGTTACTTGTTCCAGGGTGTGAATCTCGACGACGATCTCCTCGAGGAAGATTAGCCGTTCGATTGGAAGGCGAGCAGCGTGTACGTCTCGTACGTGCGATTTCCATTCTCCTTCCCGTCAGTCATTCCCCGCGAGTCGATCGGAGTCGTTTTAGAAAAAAGAAAAAATCAAGTATTACCGTTGACGGACATTAATTGTGCGCGAGTGTTTTTATCAACGCATACGATTTAACCGAATCGAGAAACGCAGTCTGTGCACGCGGACTTTACCCGTGTACCGGAGATATTAAATATATATATTGTTAATATAACACAGAAATATTTGGACGGCGAGCTTTAATCTCTTGTCACTTCCCTTTCGCAGCCTCGTCCCCTCGGAAGACGGTCGTCGCCGCGTCTCAGAATCCCTTAACGACCCCGTCGAATTAGGAACGAAACAACAAGCATGTGCATGAGGAGAAGGCTCGTGTACAGAAGATTAAAATATATTGTTAAGATAACGAATCTAGTGCCGTACATTTGAAACCCCTTAGCCACCTTCCATCGCAGCCACATCCTTCGACAGGAGTTATAGGAGATAAGAGCACTCTCAGATCCGCATGAATCTTGATCCGTATTACTGAAGAATTTAAGCATAGTGTGTATACCGTCTCCCACTGCATGGAGATTTTACATCGAAGAATTATTGTACAGTTTGTATTAAATATATTATTTGTATAATAGGAAGCCGAAACATGGTTTAAATCTGTGGAATTTCTTTTTCTTGCAGCAAAACTTCTGTGCATTCTTAGTCCTTTAGGACTAGTGTTTTCAAACTGTTTCCTCCTGCTGTTTCTCACGTCGCTATTCTTCTATGCTTTACAACTATGATCCCTCCTCTTCTATTATCACTCTACATACACACAAAGAAATCAGGTATACAATATTACAGGAATGAAATAACACGAAGATCCTTAATACACTATACTAACAAATGACCAACTTATTTGATTAGGTAGTCATCCAGTTATTGTGAGCAGCCTACCATTATTTAAATCAGTCCAGAAGATCATCAGAAGATGATGAAGAGACTACGACATAAGAAATACTTTAAGACCAGCTTCCTAGTCCAAATGGCCAGCTTCCAATCCCCATTACCTCTCATCACAATCATTCTCCACACGGAACGGAGAGCAGCCTTTCCTCCGAGGGATCCCAAAATAATTCTAAATTCTTAATAAGCACCGAGCACACTCTTTTTTCTCTCTTCGACTCACTGTAACCTGAACACAGTATATACTCCATTTCCCTGCACACGTACGTGACCTCAGAGAAAGAAAAAAAAACGTGCATTTAGCACGCGTGAGGTACGTGATCACCGGTTCCCCCAGCGAAATGCACGGACTATCGAGTTCGCTGCTTCGTTTCCGTCTCTATTTTCGAGGGGATACTCGAAGAAACGCGTTGCTTGCAGATATATCAGAATAGTAATTAATTCGAACCTTGAGGAATCGATCAAGGTTTGAGTACATAATACACAAATAATATATGGGTTTATATTTATCCGTCACGGGATAGTTTCTTTTTTTTTTTTTTTTAAGTATATTTTGTTATTTTCATCGTCCATCAGGGGCGAGCTGTTTCAGAACAGATTGAGGAATCGCCTCGCGTCACGATAACAAGAGACAGGGGGGACGAGGACGGATTAATCGCGTGTAAATTTACGCCTGGAGGGAAGGAATGGGGAGGGGGGGAATCGGTGCAACGGCGTCGGCTGAAAAACGACGGGAGTAGGTGGAGAAGGAGGAGGAGGGGCGAGAAGATAGCCGTGCGTGTCGTACTCGAAAATAGAAACGGCTTCGTTGACACTCCGCTACAAATTGTCCGTGTCGTTATGCTCTTTGTAAAAGCCAACGCTCTTTCTTATGCCCTGTCAGCCGCCGCGTATGGCCTCGCGGATGATTTCTCGAACTGTAAAACCTGCTAACTCTTTATTATCGATAATCATTGTTGGAAGACACGTGCCTACAATTTCGGGGATTCCGGTGAAAGAGAGAGATATATCAAAATAGTAGAGAGATACAGTAAATCCTCGATAAATGTTAGAAGGCTCCACGGCACTGACAAGGAGAAAACCCCAAGTGTAACGCTGACTTTTTTTAACGAGGTTTAGCACAGTGGAATTTCGAAGCCAATGATATTTGTTTCAGCCGCATATGGACATTTGTTCATGAAATATTTCATGTCAAGTGTCGAGGAGCGTTTGAACACTCATCGAGGATTTACTGTATTCATTTTATGAAAAGTAGCGCACATTTTATAATTACTCAATTGTATAATTACCGTGAAGGGGTAGACAATAGGTTCTCTTGGCCAGATGGGACGTCAATTGTACAGTCAAGAACAATGTTGCACATTATAATATGTAGGTTAGAGACTCTCGTCACAAAGGTGGCCGAACTGTAGATCTCGCGACACAAGAAGAAACATTGTCGTGTCCGTCAGCTACACGGATATTTTTTCTGTAGCATAGATTCAGCTAGGTCGCGTCGCTCGTGGGGTATATAATTAACTGATTTTAGGTGACATCCCGCGGAGTAAATGGACCGAGGCGGGACGCCCGCGTAACACTGTTTCCTCGCGACACGCGGCGTCCGCGAGAATTTATTGCCGTCTGTTTCACGCGAGGATTACCAGAACTCGGTCGAACGATATCTGACACACACTCTCCCTCCGTTTCGTCCAGTTAAATCCACTCTAACGACCGCGTAAACGAGCCGAGTAATTTTTGAGGCGGTGGCCAAATTTAAACCACAAAAACTGATCCCCCCCACCCCTCTGTTCGGTTCTTTCATTAATTCTGCCGTCGACGATTCCCGATAGACACCTAGTGCCTAAGTGAGCCTCCTTTTCAATCTGTAATCTTTATTTGAATTAATTTCTTTATTTTTTTTTTTGTAGGAAAAGCTGAAACTTTAGGCACCTCCTTCCTCTCCTGTGATGGACTAACCTTCAAAGGACAGTACTATCTACGTATTTCCCTTTACTGTATCAGAATCCACCATTATACATATCCTATTAACCTAAGTATTGGGGTACCTAGGGTAATACAATTCCAAACGTGTTTAGTTATTGTAGGCCCGAATTAAGATTTTTTGTGGTCCAGAGCTATCAAACTTTCGGGCCCCATTTGGTTGAAAAACAGGTATGGTGGGGGGGGGGGGGTTATAATACAGCACAACAAAATATATAAATCTCAAAAGATTAAAATTTAGGTTCAAAATTGAATTAGAAGGTTTTGAAGGGGGTTCGGGGCTGCAGTCCCCCCTAGACCCCCCTTGATCCGACACTGAGTTATTGTCTGAAGAGTCAGCTATCTTGGTCTGTCATTCAAAGACACTCGTTAAGTGTTCCTTAATAGGTCAGGAATATTATAGATGCCCAAAGCATCAGGAGTCAACAGGGCGTACCAAGAGACACACACGTGCAAGAAGAGGATCCCGTGGGTAGCTGCTAATAGTCGCCTAAATGGTCGACACGCTTGCTCTGGCCTGTCGCCTATATGTCACCCCTCCGCCCTCTATTTACACGCCACGATGCACGTGCATGTGAAATCTCCCTCGTCGCGACGGAAGCGCAGGAATTCTTCGACTTCTTCGCCGGTCTTGAACCGTTACTCGAACCTCCGAAAACGTTACAGACAAATCGCACGTATCCCTCGGTGAATTGTAGTAATTGCCACTAAATTTGGGGTAATAATGTACAATTCAGTCGGTACCTAAAAACAAAAAGGGTAAAGAGTCTCATTAAAAAGGTAAAATACTATAAGTACCTTTAATTTCAAATTAAACTTGTAACCGAAACCTAACCTAAACGTCACTATAAATTTAAATTAAAGTAACAGTAAACAGTAAAAAAAGAGGTTTCGGTTGCAAATATAACTTGAAATTAAGGGTACTCATAATTCTTTGTGACATTTTAAAAAATAATATTTTGCATTTTTAGAGAGCCCCTATCGACATACTAAAGTTTGAAGAAAATCTGAGATACCGACCGAATTGTATATTATTACTAAATTTGGATATTATTGGATATATGAAACCATGGTGAAATGAGCCAAGTTCTACTTAATTAAAAAAAAAAATGATATCTAGAATCTAGTCACCAATAGAATGTGGTTCACAAGAGGTGAGATCTGACTGGTTTATTTAACCAAGAGACCCAACGCGGATAGTGGGTGAATGGCGGTCACGTTGCGCTATAAAATACTGCAGCCACATCTTTGTAACTCGAGCCAGGGAACGCTGCCGCCTCTGGGCGAAACACACCGAGTGATTTACCTGACTTTCAGTGGATTCGTTCCAGAAAGGGGAGGGGACCCGCGTCCCGATGATTAATGTCGCTGTTTGCTTATCGTTGGTTGTTTGCATTAAAACGATCAGTATGCGACATTTATGTTTAGAGTATCGGCCATGTATGGGGTATTACCGAGGAACAGGTTTCCAAACAAAACATATGGGACAGCGGGCGATTCTGGCCTCGTCCCTCAATATTTCTAATTGATACGAGTATTTTTGCCCTAGGAGTAAAGATAGGTTGAAATTATCATATATGACTATGATTCGTTGATTCTTATGAAGCTGCCCAATCATATCTTCATCTTTATAAGAATCAACCGATCAGTCATATTATAATATACAATTTACAATCTCCGAATCAATTCTACTTCAGTCAAGTTCTATGACTTCTCTCTCTATTCGTCTTAACGATATTATCGAAAAGTACCAATTAGGTATTAATAATCGATAGTCCTAACTCTAATTTTGTCTCAGAATGATCGGTCCATCATTGATAGTAATTATCGATTAGCAAGAAAGTTCAATTCGACATTAGGAAATATTGATCTTGTAATTAACAGTGGTATACCTACCACCCCCATCAACCCCACAGACTCTGTATTGATCCACCGAGACTGCGTTGTTTCACGTCAACGAAAGTCACAGTACTTCTTTTGCAGGTTGGTGGAAATTCGTAGAAAAATGTCCAACACAACAAGTAATGGCGTCTGGATGGCGAGAAAGGGTTGCAGGGACTGTCCTATAGGAGACGAATTCTCCCTTCTTTTCGCCCGGACTCACCTGACCGGCTCGACCAATGGTGACACATTCATGGTATCTGTCCCTACGCGCGCTCATCTTGAAGGGTTCTCACCTGTCCGCGGCAGCCAATCAGACTCCACCGTTGGGAAACAGTAGACCCACCCCCGAGGTTAGGTCTACCCCAGGAATCAACGTTGGTCAAAAATGGCTTCCTTCGAATATTCCGATGAAAGAATAGGAAATGCTTCATAGAAATAATGTACTTGGAAGCAAGACACATATGAATTTTTGTACTGGGTAATCCAAGATAGATGTTGGGCGAAGGATAACCCAAAATGGATACTTAATGAAGGATAACCTAAAATAGATTTGTGAAGGATAACTCAAGATAGATGCTTTGTAAAGAATAACCCAAGATAGATGCTTTGTGAAGAATAACCCAAGATAGATGCTTAGTGAAGTATAACCCAAGATGCTTAATGAAGGATAACCAAAGGTGGATACTTAACGAGGGATAACCCAAGATAAATGCTTTGTGAAGGATAACCCAATATATAAAATGCTTAGTTAACCCAAGATAAATGCTTTCTGTAAATTTGTCAAAGAAGAATTCGGCCCTAGTAAAACTCTGACTCTAAAAAGGATTATTGTTTTGCGTAGATAATAGATCTGGTAAGGAACAATTGCACAATATAAGCCAATGTATGCATTAATTTCTGTAAGACGATTCTGCCCATTCGATCCGTGGCTCGTTCCAGACCTATCGACTACGCAAGATTTATTTCGAGCCTGGAAGGGACGTGCCCCCCGATCGATTTTCAAAGCGAAAAATAAAGTGCACGTGCTATTCCTGCACCGATGCACGTACGGCGTTGACGCGGTGCACGGGCAGCCTCTCTTTTACGGGTAATATTAAAGCTCGCTGACCGGGGACCGTGTTTGGAAAACATCCACGTTTTCGCAAACATCGCCGTTCTGCTCGCCGTCGTCCGGATCCAATGGCTACTTTTCTCTCTGCCTGTATTGTTTCTCACTGGACGATACGAACTGTGAGGCTCCTCTGGAAGGAACTATAGGGGTCTGTTCGAAATTTTAGTACAGACTCTTTTATTTTCATCAGAATACTTGGAATTGTAATATTAGTTTATGCAAACCGTAACGACTAGACTGCGGATTTTATGCATTTATAGCATGACGAAGTACAGACTCTTCTTGATTATTGTCCCGAACTCGTGTCCGCGCTGGGACAATAATTGTATAGGGAGAAATGCTTCAGACCCTCGTAAATTCGTTTTTTGCCCAAATTCTGAGCCTCGACAACAAAAGTGGAGGGGCAACAAATTATGCGTTTGACATGTTCCAAGCCCCCCTCAGTGGTGGGGATAACGCCTGGACAATAATCGTGTAGAAAATGCTAGTTAAGTACATATTTCGATAATAATGATTAATTTGTAGGGTGAAATGAAACTCAATTCTCCGCAATAGACGATAAATAATTAATATTTATTTCGTTTCTCTGTTTGTAATTACAGAAGCTGCCGCGGTTTCCAGGCTTCTTGTAAACGCGAAGAAATTCGGATCAGGCGGTTAGTTCACAGACATTATGGAAGTTTAACCTGCGTCTTATGTATATATATACTCAGGCTGTCGTTTATATTATGTACATCGAGTTGTCGAGATAAATTCTCTACGGTGTATCATCGGGAAATACACTGACAAAACAAAAAAACTGTTCGCCTCTACGTTGCCTAGGATACATATTACATATACATATATAAACGTTGCCTTCTCAGCAACCCGCCCCTTAACCTCTAAACATTATGAATCAACGCTAGTAACTATTAAATGTTCGTCGTGTCGAACGAACGTTTGTCCATTAAATATCGAATACTGTGTAACAATCGGGAAACACTGAATACGATGGTCTGTTTTACGGTATCTTCCTGCAGAATCCTCTGGGAAAAGGAAATCACACGATTCCTCGAGAAGATCGCCTCCTGGAAGCCTGTTCCGTAGTACTCTGCCTATCGATTGGACGTAAGATGTATTCCTGTGACGTCAATTGGACCGCCAGTGGAGATCAGGACCCGTCCAGAAGCTGGATCCATTCACATGAAACACTTCGATCGCGACTGAAACTCCATGGGAGCGAAGCCTGTCGTGGAGACCCCTGTTGGGGCTGTGGAACCCATCATGCTGGAGGGGACACCGGTGGTGACCCCTGTACTCGACACTGCCACGGTTCCTGGTTCCTCTTTAACGTTCACCACTGGAACAGGTGACCAAGAAGACGCACAGTTATAGAATACCAGTCACAGAACCTTCTTAACTGTAACAGAATCGACTAGGAATAACTACTTTCGGGCCAGTAGCATCTGGCTGGCATGGTCTCGGTGGTCATGGCGGCTTCGTGTCGCCTGGCACAGGTGGCGAAGCTGCTGCCAAAGGTGCTGCCGCCCATGGAACTCGGGGAACTCGCCGTTCCACCTGGAACATCCAGGTAATTGCCTTGAAAGGCTTTGCCCGGTCGTCAAGCAACTCGAAGTGACTGAGGTCGGGACAGGGGTTAGGTTGGAGGTGAGACTCACCTAAGGAGGTGCCCAATTGGCTGTAGCCGTTCATGGTCGGTATCTGCATGGACTGCATTGGCTGCAACTGCGGCTGTAGCTGTAATAGAGAATTCTGTGTATCCTGTATACGCTCAAAGGATATCATCCAATAGGCTCCGTTAGGGTATCGGTGGGGAAACACTTACTGACTGACAGTGACTGTAGGAGAGCTGGGACTGCTGGAGGCTCCAGGCGCTGGAATTAAATTGTCACGTGATATACAGGGTGTCCCAAAATAGCTTCGACTCCCGGAAATGACGGGTTCCTGGGATGATTTGAAACAACTTTTTCCATAGCAAAAATGTTCTCCGAGGCTGTGTTAACGAGATATCAACGAAAAACCCCGACCAATCAGAGCTCGGCCGACAGACTCGTGGTTTTTCGTTAATATCTCGTTAATAAAGCCTCGGAGATCATTTTTGCTAAGGAAAACGTTGTTTCAAATCATCCCATGAACCCGTTATTTCCGGGAGTCGAAGCTATTTTGGGACACCCTGTATAACTCAGGAGCTGAGTCAGGGGATTGAGAATCTATACAACAATCGAGGATTAATCACGATGTGACACATCGATGGGAGTTTGTTATTTACCCAGTGTCGTATCTAGTGTAGGTGGACGGCGCATAGGACGGCGGCGAGTGACCGAATATATTCCTGGGGCCGAGATGCACGTGCGTGGTCGAGAAAGGATCGCCGAACAGGGGTTTGTGGTACGAGGCGTTTCTATACGGTCGTTTCATGCGTCTACGTCGCCTGTAGTTACCGTTCTCGAACATATTCGCGGACATCGGATCTACAAAGAACCGTGGAAACTTTAATATTAAACGGCACAACTTCTTGTCACCTGTCAAATGGCTGTGTACCAATATAAGCAATCTACTGGGTATGTTTAAATACGTCGGAAAATATTCCCAACCTAACCTATTCGCATGTACGCGTCAATAATAACCCGGATGAAGTCTCAAACACCACATGGCACCTTAAAGACGTCTATTTTACGGCTACTGCGGGTCTAAGTCGTCTTTAAGCCGTCTTCAAGGCGTCATGCTATCTGCGTTTTTGTATAAATTGTATGCGTATTGCTGTTCGAGTTCTAACCTAGTCAGCCCGCGAATTTATATTGCTACCCCAGGTACCTGTCAAGAATATCTTGTACAGACTGCTGGAGTAGTAATTAACATAGAAACAGACTTCTTCGAGAAATCAGTGGATATTATTTATTGGTACATTCAGTATTTGCAAGGACCAGGGCGACATTTACTGACCAAGGGTCCAAAAGTTGCCCTTTCTTTCGCCGCCTCCCTCGCGGGGCACCTTGACGAAGCACTCGTTCAATGACAAATTATGCCTGATCGAATTCTGCCAGCCTTTCTTGTTCTTCTGGAAATAGGGAAACCGGGCCGTGATGTACGCGTAGATCTCGCTGAGGGTTGCCCTTTTTTGGGCGCTGTGCTGTATCGCCATTGAGATCAGGGCGACATAGCTGAACGGTGGCTTCTTGGTGGCGGAATCATTGGTGGCGTTGGTGGTGCCGTTGCCTGTGGTGGATCCATCCGCGACTGTGGCAGGTGTCGACGGGGCCGAAGGTGTCGATGGGTTGCTATTAGTGGTGCTGTGCAGGGCACCGGTCGGAGATGAGCCTTTTTCATCGAGATGATGATGAGTGGAGGTTGTCGAGTGCATGGAGATCCCCGAGGTGGGACTGTGCAGACTGTGATGAGAGTGATGATGGCTAAGGGAGCCGTGATGGGAACCGAGACCCCTGCCCAGGATGACAGAGTTCTCCAGGTCCTTGGCTGTCGACCCCAAACTGCAGTTTTGCATCTCTGACACGAAGCTGCTAACTGAAACGTTTCCATAAATGCCTCGTGAACCGTCTTGGTAGATTGTTTAAAGAAAGGATCCGCTACAGGCGAACACGAGGAGCAAGGTGACAACACCATCGGCTCCAGGAACCTGGACAATGGCACCAGGGCCCGCTCGATCGATCTGCACACAGACTGGGCGCACACAACAGCACCCATGTCAGTTCCCAGAAAGCCTGGCGGCGTAAAACAATTGGATCTTTGAACGGAATTCACGCTCCCCCGTCCCAGTTCGACACTCGAGACGATAAGCTCGGAGCTGGTTTGAAGAAATCGTGATTCAGGATGAAATAATTCGGAACTAAATACCAGTGATACGTGCACAGTGTACATTGAGACCGAGAATATTCAGATGGTATTGTTAGATAGTTGATTTGTTTTTGTTTCGAAGTTTCAATTAGAGGTTAGGTTTCGTAATTGACTTGACGGTTTTTCTGGCGATGAATCGAATGGTTTCTGCGTTGGATTCTAGTCATTGGGGTACAGTTCAGATCACTGGAAAGAAACAAGGAGGGCCACGTACTCGGAAAATAGAGTGCGTACGTGCATGACTCCGACTGTGTGCGCCCCCACGGGCACGTGTAACTGGAACTGAACGTGTAACTGGACACCGATAACTCGTGAACACACAAAGGGGGAGAGAGAGGCGAACCGACGAGAAACGGACAAGCGGGACAACCGTAGATTTTTCAGTGATCCCTGAATTAGCATCCACCGAACGGTTATTAATCTTCTGTTGGTTGGTCTAATCAATTCTGGTTGTCGGATGGATTCTATTAGTGGGATAGTGTTATCAATTAGCTGGCATAATACACCGCAAACCTCCAGGGCATATGATTTCGGGACCCAACGGAAACACATCCGCAAAAGAGGAACATGATGCCTTTAGAGGATTGGAATTTATAATATCTCGAAAACCAGAGGAGATACATGAAAACTTCTAATAGACGAGGTTTGCGGTTTTTTATGTAGAATAATATGGTGCTAACAAATTGTCCAAAATATAATTTGTTTATAACAACAAATTTTCGGATCGAAACTTTCGAGGGGTGGTTTCGCCCCTTAAAGTCGCGCCTTAGCCGATAAAAACAAATACGAATCCCTTATTTTTGACTGCTTAGCAGACATACGAAGTTTTATCAAAATCGGAGGGGGACACTTCCGTGCCTTTCCTTGTCAGTCCAATCCAGATCCAATGGAATCCACTTTAGGTTAAAATCCTTGTTAAAAAGATAATTCACTTTTGTTATGTCCATTAGATAGGTGTTTAGGCTTTTTTTTTCTATTAGTCACTGTCCTCATCATTCCCTCCAAATAGATCCGTTTCGTAGATCGCGTGTCCTCTTCGAACAAGCGATATCGACCGATGATAGACCAGCCCGTGTCATACACGCACATCCTCGGTACGCCGGGGATCCACGCCGCGAAAACAAGCAACGAGATCGCGATAACGTCAACGGTCGCCTCGGCCGACACACCTGACTGCAACTGGAGATCCGCCTTGCTACGCGACACCTACTAGACCACATCTGCTCTCGTCACGGGATCCCTTGTTTCGATTCGAACAAACGATCGCCGCTAGAAAAGAAAACACAGTCCTACGGAAAATTCATGCAATCGTTAATAATTCACCGATTCGGACGAAAAGAATTTCGTAACGTTGAAAACGCGGCCATCGGCTGACATCGACAGAAAACCATGACGTAATCGAGCTTGCGAAAAAAAAAAAAAAAAACTGTCCTTCGTGACGGTTTATTGCGATAATCGTTCGTATGTCGGTCGATATAATCGATACACGAGCATCGATTTCGCGTACCTTGCTGTTTCGTGAAATAACCTCACTTTTTCTTCTCGGAAAGTCGATCGGTCTAACAGGGTCACGGGGTCTCGTGTCAACATTCCTTCGTCTCTGTTTTACCGACACGTACTTATTGTTTTATGGATTTCAGTGATTATTTCCGGGAAGATCGAACGATCTTTCCGACGATGGACATTTGATCGGTATGTCTGTCAGCGGGTGGAATACAATGCGACGAAAGTGAGAAAAATAGGGCCGTGTGTCTCGATGCACCGTCGGACGCAGGGAGAAGCCTGCGTGATGTCACGACGCGTATTGTATTTCGCTTATCGGCGGAGCGGATGCCGCCGATTCCGCGTTGGAACTCGCAGCATTTCAGGAATGCGAATGCCACGGTTTTTTAGCCGACAACGATCCACGGAGACAACGACTCGCAAGATGCGTGTCTTGATCGATGTGTACCTTACACTCTTTACCCCCTTTATCGCCCCCCCCCTCCCCTACACCCATTATTCGTCATTTGCTGCGTTCCTTTGTCGACGCAGAAACGGTGTGACACGTATAAATCGACGGAGCTGACATATACCATACTTGCTATTGAATTGTATTTTTTTTATACACCGAGGTGCATACGTCGTTGATGTTATGGTAATAGAAGACCGCGGTACAGTGTACTTCGTTTTCAAAACACGCTGCTTGATTGTAACATAACAGTCGACAGAGACACCAGCTTGCACCAACGAGCAAACTCGGCTTTCTCCAAGGGAAAAAGAAATGTAGGGCTAAGGGCCTCCTACCGCTTCATAAATTTACTTCAAATACTGAAATAAATGTTAAACCAAATATTAATTTGGCATAAATTTCAGTACCTCCGAGACTAAGTGGTAGGAGGTCTTTTCCTTACATCACTTTTCCGAATTTCCTTACATCACTTTACCGAGCGTTAGTACCACATATCACTAATAACCAGTTGTATGCAAGGTTCGAGCAAATTGCCAGCAAATAATAACAAAATTTGTCTAAAAAACCATAGCCATCTGTCTGACATGGATTTTGCAGGCAAAGCCGGTTGACAAAATGCTAAAGCAAATTGGCAGCAAGTCTTGCAACACAACTCAGGCTAACTAACCTAGGTTATATTGCAAGATGTGCTGCTAATCTGCTGCCAATCCCCGTACAAGTTGTTGATAGTGTTGAGTACATAACATGATAACAGGCATTTGACAAAATTTGGCTTTGCATGCTTGGCTGACTGGGAGTCTGTAATACTAGTTGCTTTGGTCTTGGCGATGGAGAATCGTGTGGAGAAAGTCACTGTTAATTAAATGTTATGCAGACCAGGCCAGAGGGATGCTAGGACACGTGCAGGCCTAATGATCCATTACCGAATCAGTAATCGGGGGTAAGTTACCCTGCAAGGGGAACACGTGCCTCCCCATAGAGATACTATTAGCCGTGAAACGTGTACAAGAGTATCATCGTTAACAGCGAAGAACTCCAGGTCAAGGGATCAAATTCCGAACCTGGATCAGTTGACCCTCGACCGGTAAGAAAATAGTCCAGTTAATCATACACGAAAAGTAAGGTATTTCGACCTGATTTTATAGGTTAGGTTCTGTAGTACTGAATTACAAATAACCTGATAAACGCGTGCGTGATTCTGCCAGGATTCCATCCCCAATTAAGGACACTAAGAGGGTGTCCCAACATCCGAGAAATGAAGTTCAGCCGCCGAAAAACAAAGATACTGCGTATCAGAAGGGAAGAAAAAAAGAGCAAGTCGAAGCTGCAGCGTGCCAGAAGAGAGGCAGAAGATGAAGGAGGGGGGAAGGTACGAGGTATTATAAAAGAGAAACTCGACGCAGGGGCCAGAGGGGTCATCTGAGGAACGATAGCTCATCTGGCGGTATCTTCCGCGTGAGCCAATCGTCGCACGGTATCTCGACCTCGTCAACGTCGTCGACGCATCATCGTTATTCGTTCCTTTTTTCCCCTCTTCAACGCCTCTGACGCCGGAAGTGCGGATGCAGTTACAGGTCCACGACAACTGGGGAACGTTTTCATCGACCCTGATTCTTTCACCATTATGTCCAAAAGCAGGGTACCGTCCTCATTCCTGGCTGCCGTTCAAGAAACACTCGTTCATCCCCTGGCAGTCTTTATCGTAGCGTTATCGTGTTTACTATAGCGTACACACGTTGTTTTGCGACCGCAAATCGCCGAAAACAGAAGCGCGAAATCGCAAGAATTACCTAATGAGCTTTTTTCGTGTAGATAATTTCGACAGGGGGCCCGACCGTTTTGTCGCCAATCGTTATTTATCGTTTTAAGTTTTCTCTTTCTCTCTTGCGCAGATTTTGCAACAGAAGAACGGACCACCGTCATTCGGTTATCGGCTGTTATCGCGCTGCTTTGAGCTGGTCAACTTGGACCAGAAGAACTGGTGCGCGATTCTCCGTTAGCCTTTATCTGACGAACTGCTTGTTCGAACCCACTAGGTTAGCTCAGACCCGTTGCAAAAAGAGGTACACACGGTGTATACTATGGCAATCTGGCCCTAGAAACGTGTACGATTTATTGGAACAGAGAATGGAGGTTCATGGTTCATTCAGTTTTCCGATAGAAATCTGAGAATCGCAAACTTTGTGACATTCGCATATGTCCGTTACCGCGGTGATCGTAGTTGACGATTGGCTTATCAGCCACGGCTAGAGATTAGTCCAAAGCGGGGTGCCCTTGTTTACTAGAAATCTATTTTAACACGACGATTACATCCACGGCCTGATTTCAGCATAAATAAGCAGGGTCATGATATCGCCGCTAAAAATGGCACCGTATGTCGATTCATCCCCTTGTCGCGGCGAAACGTTCAACTACCGCCGATTGATTCCGAACAGTATCACAATTGTTATTGGTTTTAAAATTGGTCCAGATTGTAAGGACTTAACCAATTTGCGTATAGATGACTAGGTTAGGATCTTGGGTAGAAGGTTAGGTTAGGATCCGATTATCCAGTTAATTTTTCACGAATTGTAGATGCTCTTCTGCCTATTTTCTAACCTAATGAGGTCAGTAAACTTGCGTACAATAGGGCCTAACAGGGGGGCAGCGTTTCTCTAATCTGGAATCTATAATTACCCGTGACAGGTATTCCGTATTGCTGGTTATCGGCGACTACTTCTTGCGTGCCCGATAAAAACCCGTGTGTACGATCGTTAAAAACTGTAACGCGAATCTAGAACATGAACACCGTGACCGCCATGGTGTGTAGAACGTTTGTCGGTCCGAAGCCTTAAAAAGAGGGAAGGACAGATGTTCCCTCCATCGGGCACGGTACATATAAATACGATTGGGAACCGTGTTTCTGTATTTTTTTTCTTCCGAAGGAACACATATCTAGCCGTAGGATGTATAAGCGAGGATTCCCGAGGAACGGCTCTGTCGTTGGCCGATATATATCAGCCTGCGGGTCGGGCGAGGCCCGCGAGCCTTCCCGGATTAGCGACCATAACTCCTCGGGGAGCACTCTGGAACAGCCGATTTCGAAAACACGAGTGAGACTTGAGTTGCCTCTGGACTTTTGTTGCTTCTGCAAAAATTCCTGACCGCCGACTGAGCTGGAGGTGTCCTTCCCCCACCGTCCCCCCTTGTCGCCACGCCTTCAGTTAACACCGACTAATCGTTTCGGGTCTCAAAGGGAGGCGAGGGATGTAATCTTTTTAAGAAGAAAGGATATCAAGATATTTACAACGCCTCCAACTCCCGTTGGATCAAGTGTACCATTCGCTTTCAGATGCGCATAACTTCAAGCCGCAATATTGCTAGTTTCAAAGAAGCCTGCACCTCCCTCCATAACTGCTCGCCTCGCACCGTAGACGGACGCGTTATCTACAAGAGTATCCCCTGGATTTTTTACAACACAGAGATACGGGGACGAGAATCAGGGCTCGGCGTACGGGGATTAATTGTATCCAGTGGTCTATCTATCCGGACATTCATGCGATTAGAGCGAATAAGAGAGTAACGCGAGACCGTGGCGTGCAACGGCTCTATCGGGTCTTTTTATCGCCTCTTTAAATGTTCCTCCACGGTTGATTACGCGGCCTCCGCCGATAACTAGAGGGGGGGGAGGGAAGAATATTTGGTTTCATCGTTGCCGAATTCTTTTTATTTATCGTAGTCTGAGTTACCGAATGTTACGTATAAATTTCAGAATAGTTAATAATTATTTTGTAGTTTCTTTTTAGACAGAAACTTGTATTACATGGTATCAATTCGGTCGTTGCACGTGAAATGGAAGAAGTGCCGATAAAACAGCAATTTCAGGTGCAACAACCTAATATATACTAAACTGATGAGTTGAATTCTGTTCGTGAAGGTATGCCGAATTATGAAAACCCTCCGAAGTCTCAGCGTGCTGAGCCAGGGGTGTGTGTTTTCACCAGAAACGACGTCGAACCGAAGAGTACCGTCGAAGACAAGGTAGCGACAGCCTCCAGAGGCGCGTAATCGCGCTGTAGAGAATGTAACTGAACGACGCGTGGAAAGATCAGGGCGCAGCCTCTCGCGGTATATCATTCCCTAACCTCTCTCTCTGCCTTCCGCCACTACTTTCTTTCCCTCTTCTTCTGTTTCGTTTTCCCCCCGTGTCTCCTCCCCGCCCCATTGCCTTTTCATCTCTTTCCCCTCGCGGCGACACTCGAGCAGCAGTTTTGTATTATTATTAGAACGCGTTCTGGTCTTTAGCTACCACGACGACCAAGGAATCATTGGTCCGTGTCAAGCTGAGGATCCTGATGACGTCAAACGAATTTCTGAACCCGTCACCAGGCGCGTTTTTTAGCAACTGATGTATATATATATATATATATATGTCCAGGGCTACATTTCTGTGAGACTTACCTTGATGAAGAGACGGCAAGGGAGAGGGCGGGGACACCTGGTACGGCTCCTGCTTGATTTTTAGGGGATGAGGAGACTCCTGCATGCTTCCTAGGCCCACCACCCCTAGACTTCCGTTGCCCTGTTGCAGTTCCTGGAAGAGTTTTTTAATAATTTCACTGCGGATTTTTGTGTAAAATAACAGGTTCTAAAGTAATGCATGCAGGCAGGCGAAAATATAAGAATTTATTTTTCCTTAAGGCGCCTTAAAGACGCCTATTTTACGACTATTTTGGGTCTAAGGCGTCTTCAAGACGTCATGTGCTATCTGGGTATTGGGATCAGACTAAAATGGAAAGCTCATTGAAACCGATGGAAGTTTTGTCTTTTACTGTATTTCACAGAGCCTTAGGGGCTGTAAATGCATAAAATCCGCAGTCTAGCAATAAGCATCGTTGATTCAGAGTGTATTTGAATTTTCCGTTGAGCAGGAAGTAACATATAGGTGAATATTATGGTAACACAGGGTAATGGAAGTATTAAACTACGCGTGTGGAGGCTTCTAATGATTAGCAGAGAATTCCGTCGTTGTTTTCTAACGCAGCAAGGGGTCCCGATTACAAGATGATTAGCAACGAGCCACTGAAAGGGATCCTGTCACCGATACATTGAATACCAGAGGATCCAAATATCAAAATAACATTACACTTAATGTTAAATACATAATAAGGGTATATTAGATACACCCTTATATGGTTATGTTAGGCCCCATATCTGGACGCCAGAGCCAGAATGCAATTAAGTCCACTCTAAAAAAAAAATTTCATTTTACATGCTTCCTGTATGAAATATTTCCCTCTTTCCGATGGTAAAATTTATTTCGTCCCAAGTCGTCTGGTTTTTAACTATAATAGTCGAAAAATCACGTTAAGTTCATCTTTTGTTCCGAGCTAAACCGCCATTTCTACACATAGAGGCTTAAATCCATTCAATAGTTCGAAGGTAGCGATAGTTTCTGGCTGAATTCTTACCGAACGGTTCGAAAGTTACAAGGTTTCCGCACCCTTGACTTCCCCTGAACTTTAAAAGTCCAAAGTTTGACAAGTGTGACTTAATACACTCTGGCCCAGATATAGGTTATGTCAGGTATGCATGATAAGCATCTGTTCTTTTTTTGTAGGTTATGCGAATAAGTGATTTTTTTCTTGAATCGCCCGAGACGAACGGCAACCCGTCGGACACAGGGGTGAATGAACCAGAAAGAAAGGGACGAAGGAGACGAAGAAGAAGAAGAAGCCAAACTGCCTTCTGGCTCGGAGCTCGCGATGTTTGAAGTACCGTCGCCGGCAGCTTACAAACACCGACCCGGTGTTGTGACATCGTATTATGCCAACCGAAACTTACGATCTCTCTAGATCGTTAATTTGGCGATCACGGGCCTGCTTCACACGACGTCTCTAGTTTTCCAACGGTGCCCCCGACGACAGTGTACCACCCGAGGCGTAACAACCAGACACAGAGTACACTTTGATACGTGGGAAATCCCAACGATTTTTCCTCTGCCCCGGCTCGTGTTAGTCGTTCTGTCTGGTGTCTTCTGTTCCTTGATCCGTCGAACAGAAGTTTTAGAGCAATAGTTACTCTGGCACTTTCATCAATTATACCCAGATAGCACATGACGCGTTGAAGCCGTATATAGCTGTAAAACAGGCGTTTTTAAGGCGTCATGTGCTATCTAGAAGCTCGCCAGTTTTATTTTAGTCCTTTTCAAAATGACTCGTCATTTGGAACCCCCGTCTCTGCTTGTGCACGAGTGTTAAGAGAAGAAGAAAGCTGACAAATATCTAGTAAAACACATCCAATTTCTGGAGACGATTCAGAACTACCCAGATAGCACACGACGTCTAATGACGCCTTGAAGACGGTTTAAAGGCGCCTTAGACCTAAAATAGACGTATTTAAGGCGTCATGTGCTATCTGGGTAGACAGTCCTAACCCATATAACACATGATGCCTTGAAGACACCCATTTTACAGCTATTTTAAGTCTAAGACGTCTTTATGCCGTCTTCAAGACGTCATGTGTTATCTGGAAAGGGTTAGGACTTAGGTTAGGCTAGCCTAACCAATATCGAAGATGCTTATCACAAAGCTGTGCGTTAAGGCTCAGATTCAACTGAAACAAAAAGCCATTCAGCCCGTTCCAAAGTCTCAAAATCACCGAATTCCCGACCGATCGGGTGCATACCAGCGAGGGCAAAGAGACATACAACAAGTCACCGTTAGCACGACCGCAGAAGTGCATCAACAGGCTGACACTGAGAAACGTTCACTGGTTAGGAACTTCTGGAAACACGTGGCCGCCGCCGGATCGTTAATCCAACCGGACAGCCATTAAATTAAGCTCCGATCCCGTCTAAGCTGTGCGTTAGGCTTCTTTGAACTTCGCCTCAAGACGGAAAAAAGAAGAAGATCCTTCGGCGAGAGGAGGGGAGGGGGGACTATATCATTCAAGCGTATAGTCGTTTCACTTGTAGTGAGAGATCAAGTGTAGGTCGACGACGTGGGTCTTATCGACCGTCCTGATAAACACTTAGCCGTTCAATTATTTTTAACGACGAACGCCAAATAGCTACTCGAGCCTAGAGGTGCGACTATCGATTATCAATATTATCGATATCTCATTCATACTTAACGATATTTATTTATTTATTAAACGGGTGTAAACCTAGTATACATACATAACAATTGAATGAGAATAAAATTAGAAACAGTTGCGGGAACATAGTGTATGAGAATTTCTAATTAATCGTTAACTTAAACAATTCTTAGTGGCCTATGTAAGGATTTCTTAAAGTAATCAATAGAGCCACTGAAAATGTCGATCATATCCATAAATTTATTGGCTGATTTCAGCATTCGATAAATAATTGGATCATTTGAATCGTATTTAGTTTTATATCATCGATATATCGTTAAGGTGAATATAGATGCGACTGAGGCAGACTGCAAGGCATTAATTGTAACGGAATCACTTAAATATATACAAATTAACAAATTTCGAGTAATTTTATAACAATTAATGCGTTTATATTCTCGGCATTCATCGATAACTTCGTCGATAGACGCACATCTACTCAAGCCGACGGTCGAAGTTCAGCTGGTGGTACCAATTGGACGTACATACATATGTAACGCGAATTTCTATCGATTTATTCAAGCAATCGAACACCATCGTAAGACACGTGAATCACCTGGATGGTTCATTCATTATGACAGGATCAACGATACTGGAGAAAATCGATCGTTCAAGGAGAAACGACCCTCGGCGACGGTTCATTCGTAAAATGGGAATTCGTGACACGAGAACGCGTAAAGACGCAGATCGGATAATTGCGAAATTTTCGAGGTCACGACCTACGCTTTTTCTCGGTTTCTTTTTCTCTTCCGTCCGCGACCGACGGCGGCAGCGACGATAAGCGGGGCCTGAGGAGTGACGGTTTTATCGTGCGCTCGAAGAACACATTGGGGGGAGGGGGGCTGGCGATGAAAAGCGGGAAAATGTAGTGGAAAAAATTCAAACTTTGGTTACGTCATACGATAACTACGTTGTGGTACGATAACTGACGAATTATATTGTCCTAGCTAAAAAGTACCGTTTATCCAAGGGAATCGATCTTCTGAAGAATCGAATCGGAACATCCCTTTTGTATATGTTGTTCGATGAATGAATTTATATGAATTATAGAACAGGCGTGGTGCTTACCCCTGCAACTGGAATAACGTGCGAGACCATCCCCGTTGTTCTGTCCAGATCCTCGTGATTCATAAAATCGACGGCTGCATTTACACAACACTGAAAAATCAGTCCCTGAAGCTGCTTCCTTTTCAGCTCTGCCGCAAAGTTTCACTCTCGGACACTTTTAGTTAAACGTCGTAACAATCGATTATCGGTCACTGTTCACACTATCGCCAGGTAATTCACAATCCTTGGCTTGATGTTACATCTTCGGGACGCAGAACGATACTGGGACACACTGGATTCTTGTGGTGCACTCCAGAAGATCTATACTCCGGGCGATATCTGCGGGAAACCCAAAAGGCAAACATTAGCTGGTGAACTGTGACGATTACCAACAAGTATAATTAATTCTGGGCCTTGTTTTTCACAAAATTCAATATTTATTTACGGAAATATGGTTTTACTGTTGGACATTTTACCTATTATTTTCTACGACTATGCTCCGTTTAAGGGGCAGAAAAGAAGATGGCGGTTCTCAACGGACAAAGTCGTCGATCAAGATTTCCACTCGGAAACCTCTGATAAACACCATTTTCTGCAAGTTTCATGTATAACACAGCTTTCAACCAAAAGGAGACAAAACATATTGAAAACCTTAAGGTCGACACTTGAGAACGGCGAAAAGGCGGGAAAGTGTTGGAATTCAAAATTGAGATACGACTGGTTCAATGCAAAAGCATCGAATGGATTTTTACACTTAAACAAAAGCGGAAATGGGTAAATTTAACAGAGGAAGATGTATTTTCTATCGACAAGATTCAAGCAACCGGAACCGAAAGTATCAAGACAAATGGACTGCCGCCCAAAAGCGACTTGTTCGTGACTTCGACACCACCGTGGCCGATGCAGCAGGCGAGGACATGGAGTTTGACAGTGGCAGAGGGCTCTCACCGCGAGGGATCGGTGACGTGCGAGCAACAGCTGAGCACTTAGCGGTGAGGAAAGGGATCCACGTTCCCCGGGGGAGTCGTTGAGACTTCCGGCGGCGCCCGACAGAGGATCCTCGAGACGTCATCCCGGCGTTATGTCTCGTAAATTCTCGACAATAAGAGGGTGTACGCGGCCCGTCAAACACGTCTATTTTCGGGCGGTCATTAAACGCTGCTAATGTTTGTTAATAGGGACCCCTGGCCCGTTGAGGAACTATTTGTGTTGATAATGCTGGATACAGCTTATTCTGGGTCGAAGGGACAATCCCTTTTCGATTGAGGATGTAGGGACGCAATGTTCATTTAACGATAGGTCGGTAGTACTAAGAGTACCAATGGTACCAATCGATACTACCAGATAGTAACGATAATGTCAATAGTACCAATAGTATCAATAATACCAATAGTGTCAATAATACCAATAGTGTCAATAATACCAATAGTGTCAATAATACCAATAGTATCAGTAGTGCCAATAGTACCAATAGTACCAATAGTATCAGTAGTACCAATAGTATCAATAATATCAGTAGTACCAATAGTATCAATAGTATCAGTAGTACCAATAAGTGATTCACCTTTCTGTTAAATTAGGAAGGTCATCTCTTAGATGGAGGATGTTGAGAACCATAGATTATAAATCATCGAGTTCCACGAAGACTAATACTAATATTGCCAAGTAATAGATTACTTATCAGTATCAGTTAAATTGTTAAATCAAATGAAGAATTAGTTTGTAATAGATGATCGGTCCCGTTGGACGAGAACTGGGACTGGAATCGTTAATGGGTGAACAAAGTGGAGGAATCCGTTTCTTTTCGCGTAATTAAGAGAATATGTTATCGCCCCGTCCCAGAAGGAAGAGCCATTTATCTCCTTGTTTACTAAACACCGCGTCTCGAGTTCATAGAATCACGGGAACGAAGTTTACAAACTCGCCGCGGCCGGCCGAGCCTCTTCTAGATATTTAAATATTACACAAAATCGTCGGGCACGCCTCGATTCCCCCTTTTCTTTCTCTTTTTTTTAGTCTTATTTCGTGTGTCGTTATAGTAAACCGTTTCATTCATGAGTTTCACGGCCCGTGGGAACGTTTATTGTGACGCGGATGAGAACGATATTGGTTCAATGAAATCCTGGCGAAATTTCTGCGCGGATGGCCTCTCGAGAAAAAGTCCCTCGCTTCGGCCGACGGAACCATCGAGCTTCTAATGCAAATTACGAACTGACTTCGAAGGTAAACTCGTCCAGATATATTCAATTTACCAGAAATTCACGAAGTAAACTAACAAAGACTGTTATTTCTTTCAGACTCAAGAAATCAAAAATGGATCTCATGAAAATGGATTTTAAGTCTCAAGAGTTAGACCACAAGTAACTTCAAAAAAAGATTTGGAAGTATATTCAGACAATCCAGCAGAATCTAATACAACTCGTTTTAGAAACAAGGAAACAACCCCAAACTGAATCAAAGTGACTGCAAGAAGAGGAGTTCAGAACCCAAATTTATAAAATACCTGCGTAACGCCAATTATCACTAAGAATATCCTCCTTCAATCTCGTTAACCAGAAAACACCCAAATCCAAGAGCAGAATCTTCCAGAACGACAAAGAATCTCAGAGATCCTGTCAACAAGTCCAGAACTCTTAAATCCGTCATCCTCGAAGACTCTCAAAACCTGATCCACACGAACAACCGATAATGGAATCTAATACACTTAGGGGATATGATCTTATTCACAAAAAAAAAAAAAAAAACAATTTACCTTCTGCATCCGGATACAGCAACGCAGTATATATATAACGTCACTGTTTTTTTTTTCGTTTATATTTTTTTTCCGCGGTTTCGCGAGCAAGCTCTCGAGGCCCGACGAGGCAGAGACGTCGAGGGGATATGCAACGCGCGTCGGTCGAGGAAACCCAGCCAAGATTGAGACTGATTGAGAACGTTCTGAACGGGGCGAGCGATTCGAAACGGTTGGAAGCGCGCAAGAGGCGGAGTTACGCTCCTCTCGAGCCGGGCCAACTTATCGACGCCCTCCTCCTATGGTGCGCCGGCTATCCCCCGTTTTCTCCGCCTCTTTTGCTGATCGAAACGTGTTCCCCGAGGCTGAACGAGCTTTCCCGTGATTTTCAGCTAACTCCCGCAGTGAGTTTTCTACATGTATGTAAATTCTCGATGCTTCCTTGTTAAAGGGAGTCACACCTGTAACCTACAAAAAACGTCTATAACCTAAAAAATACACCTGTAGCCTCGCCTGCCTGTTGGCGGTGCTGGAAATTAATGTAAAGTGTAGATATCAGAACTGCAGGTGATGTGTATTTCAGTATTTTTAAAATTATAGGTTTTCTGCGGATCAATTAGTATCATAGTGACCGTTTGGGAAGCAGAAAATGTCAGATATGGCCCCGTTTTGTCTGGATAATCGTGGGTCTTGGTTATAACTGCATAAACTGCGGATTTTATGCATTTGTAGCCAATATAGGTCTGCAAAATACAGTAAAAAACAAAACTTTCATCGGATCCAATCAGTTTTCTGGTTTATTCCGAACCTAATATGATACTTATGAAAAGAAACAAACTTTTATATTTGCTCTTCAAGAATAAACAGAAGCTAAGCAGAGGCTCGGTTTCAGACAAAAAACAAATTTATGGGAAGCTGAAAACCTTGCCACGAATGCTCCGAAGTGGAACTGAGTACGTCGCACTCATCGAGACATTACTGTATCACTATTCATAAACAAAAGACGCTGCAATGGCAATATTACATGCTTCGTAAAGATTGTAGGCCACTTCGTTGTCAGACACCAGCATGAAAGAATTCGTTCAATGCCGCAGGTATGGAGGTTATGTAATTGGGTTCCGGTGACTCTTAAGACATACGTTTGTTAGGCAACCGTATCGTTCTGCACGATAATCATTACCTAGAAATTCGATCGAGAATTAAGGTCACCGGGTTTCGAAGAAGTCGCTGAGTCCAGGTGAACTGCGTTTCGACATTCGGTCACATGTGTGTTACCCATTCTCCCGCCAGACTCTCTTCGGTGACGCGCAACTGTGGTTTTGTTTAATCGACACAAAGGCGTCCATACGGATCAATACCGGTGCCCAGAGTAGTACAATTTACCAGACATTTCATAATGGAAAATTGGACAGCTTCAGGTGCAAACAATGTATCGAATATTTTTCATGAAAATATCAGTAGAGGCTGGTCTCTATAAAAAAGCTTTGTCTTTTTATTTTGCTGTATACAGAGATGATCTTCAGGCTTCAGGCAGTGTAATTAGTCCGTGAGATACGTATTAGAGGATGCGTCAACGGGGAGAGACGATCGCCACACGCAGAGGAAAATAGAGGGGAAGGAAAAGTGGTCGCCATGCTTTGGGCGGAGACTGGTGGGTATATTAAGCTCTTCCATTGGACGAAGGACCGACCTGGTGCATCGACTTGCAATACCCTCCACGCGCCGGCCCAGTAAACGCTTCCTTCCTGAATCCTTCCCCGTTCCGTATAACTGCGACACCTCGGAAAAATCTGTCCTGCGAGTGGTCCTCCGCTGGAACGTACCTAACCTCTAAACAATATACATACACATGGTAACATTAGAACGTAATCGTTGAGATTGATCATCAAGATACATTTCTGACTACAAGAAAAAAGAACTTCAACACTAGAACTACTGACGATAAACGCATATTTGCTTCGATCGGTGGATAAACGTGGAAAACTTTTGAAAATTTAGAAATTTAGAAATCGACTGATTTCGTCACTCTCATATCGTAATAAAAGGTGCAAAAGATCTGAGAAAATGTATTGTCATAACATTTTAATTGTCGTTGTAAAAGTGTATTGACCAGTCATTTTGTCTGGTTTGGTAGTTCTAGTGTTAATGTTTAATACGTTAATAGAAACTCTTGATTGTAGCCCATGGACTGAATCACCTGAAGGCTTAAACGAAATTACGATTCATATTCGAAACATCTATACAGGGTGTTAATTTTAACTCGAGCACCTAAATTATTTCTGCTACTATTTAAAGTATGAAAAAATTACTGAATAGGTTTTAAGGCGTGCATCTGATGGTGATAAAATGTTTTTTTACTTATTACGTTTATTTACTTCTGCATTCTTCAAACTGAAGCAGATTTCTTCGTCTTCGAGGTTACTTCAAGGTCATGGTATGAAGATCGTTGAACTCATCTTAACGCCGACTACTACATCGCGATATAAAAAATACATGTTAATATGCAAAAAAAGATACGATGACCTTGAAAAACCCGTTAAAATGACCTTCACAGGATTCTTTTTATCACCATCAGATGCACGCCTTAAAACCGTGTACATCCTATTTATGTAGTGATTTTTTTTTACTTTCCATAAATAATTATTTCAGGAAATAATTTAGGTGGTCGAATTAAATTAACACCCTGTATATCTGAGTAATCCATAAATATCACTGGAAAATTCAATGTGTCAATTACTAACAAACTAATCCCGAGGATCGTTGGATTTAAAACTTTCTGAAAGACAGTGAAATTTTGAAAGGGGATTATTGGATTTTTGAACAATTACATGTCATGCATAGGTCAAAATTTTCCTTATGTAGGCATAGAATATCAGAGCATTTCAAGCTAAAGCTTTATTCCCTTCGGTCGTAATCGCTATCGGAATCGAAATCTCCAGGCAAACAAATAAACGGCCCGGGTCTCCCGTGGCATCGATCCGTGGAGTCATATAAATACCACCTACTACGTGATGTAGGTACGATTCAGAGAAACGGACCGATATACAACGTGCCGTTTGGTTATGTAACACGAGGCTACGTGATTTAGGCAGGATACTGATAACGGATATTAAACGGTCCCTCGACGTCTTGAGTTTCTCGAATCTTACGCTTGAGAGCCTTTACAGATCCGACGCGCAGATTTTCGAAAGACTCGAAATACAATTTTCAACAACGATAACCCGATTCGGCCGTCAAAGTACGCCGATTAATAATTTGCAACGCGAATCGATATTCCAGCGGCAAAAACGAATCGCGTCGAAACGACCGGATATTTTTCAACGGTAATAACGGGATTGTTGATCGAAGGCTAAGGTGCTCACGAGGGTCTGGATGTTGTCACTGTAACAGTGTATTGTTAGGCCGGCACAATGAGCGTGTTTAAACAATATCGGCCGGTCGACATGGTCGATTGTTTCTTCGCGCAGCCCCGCGGCATTATCGTTCCCATTAGCGGTCGCGTGTGCGATTAATTCCGTGCTAAAACGCGCATCGTGGGTTTAGTTCCTCGATTATTTATCAGACGCATTGTAACACCAGACGAAATTGTATGTACAGTTGGGGGATACCGCTAAGATATCGATACTTTTACTTATTGCTGGTATTGTATCAAAGTATCGATACTTTTACTTATTGCTGGTATTGTATGAAGGTATCGATACTTACTCGGTATCAAAACAAAAGTATCGATACCTACTTGTGTCGAATTATATTTTCCTAACCTCGGTACCCAACACAAAAGTTGTTTATACGTTGAGAGAAAGTAAAGTACAATACTATACTTTATATATTTATTTAAATATTTAATATAGAACATATAGACAAACATATGTATAAACTATATACAATATACATAATAAAAACAATTGTAGATATTGATTATCAGATACTATTTGTACAAGGATACTTATTAGTTTCAAAGATATTCTGAAAATATTGAATTTGGGGCATACGATCTGCGACCCAAGGAGGCTCGAAAAATACTATTTTAATATTGAAAATATTTAAATACACATTGCTTAATTATTAATATAAACAACATACTTTGCGTTGAAAGTAATTACAATATCGAATATTGATGGATTGATACTCAGTTCATTCGATAAGAGTACTTTTTCTCGATTCCTACTTGGTATCGCAACCGTACGTATCGATACCAAAAGTACTCGGTATCGAAACAAAAGTATCGAGTAATGTATTCGCATTTACTTGTATCGATTCATCCCTACTGACAGTCACCTGACCATGGAACCAATACACCTGTGACTTTTACAGATCCCTTCTATACCTACAAAGCGATCATAACCTGCTTAATATTTTTTTTATCAAAATCAAAGTGATCCCTGTAATATCGAAATTGTCCGGGGACTGTAATATAAGAATTCGTGTCCATAAGGCACGTCATGAAATTCCATGTGGTTCGTTCCGCCGCGAGTCACGCCTATAGAAGAACGATAAATTAGTGCACCTAAGAGGGCAGTCGTGTGTGGAAACTCAATCCGTCTCGAACCCCTTTAAAAAAATTACGACGGACTGTGTGTTATAAGGAACGGGCGAGAAAAAAGGGTGTTCTTGTTTTGATTAGGGAATGTCAAAGCAAATACGGTTCACAAGGCCCCACTGAAAGTGGGGCCTCTTTCTTTCGTGCATACCACGACTCTCTCTCCCGCGTTTTATTACCTTTTTAATAGTGGGTCGTTTGTCGCGGTCAGCCGAGAGGACAGAGCCGGCTAACACATGGTCACGTTCCCTGGGACAAGGCATTTGCGTGCCATTGTGTGTCACACTTCTGCTATCGGCTAAAAGATTACGAAAAATGTTCCAGATCGCCTAGAGAATATTGTGCTTCGATCATTCTTGTTGCGAACGATGTAATTATTAATTACAAACGAAATAATTTATTTTACATGCTTGTTTCGAACTAATCTTTTACCGTCGTTTCCAAAAGCTTTCGAGTATACATGCTGTGGTTGCATGGTCAAGTCGTGTAATTGCGGTAGAGAGACACGAAGCAGTAAAGATTTACGAATTTATCAGCTGAGCATCGAGTAGAAAAAAATCTGGTCGAAAAATGAGGGTTAGAATGTCAAGAACAAAAGAGGAAGTGGGGTAGGACCAGGCCAACCGTCAAGAATGTCAGGTATGCGAGCCCTAGAAATAAGTGGAGGGGATACAAAACAGTAGGGCAATCAGTATAGAGCGTCCTTCCTCGTTCTGCAACCAAGCAACCACGAACAGTGTGCATTTTTAACATTTTATTAATGTTGCAATAATGCAAGTGATGCACAAGGGGACCGGAAGTGTATGTATGTGTGTCGATAATGCAGGTGTCTGCCTACGATGGAAATTGGAAGGAAAAGTGTGTACATATACCGATAACAGTGGTGAATTTATCGAAAACCCGAATATTTCGTGGTCGCGTTAATTAATTAATCGGTGCCTGGAAGAACATAATTTTATAATATTTTTAATAACATTTTCAACGAGATCATTTGTACAAAACGACGATGGGCTACCATCTAACGGTGTTCTGGAGTACCAAACGATGCCGGTTTTCGACCGAGTCTTTCGTAACCTATGGAAGCAGAAGACCAAGTTGAAGAAAATATTGGTGCTCGTTCATCGAGCGGATCGCTAACTGAAAAACTCGTACGATCGCCATGGACGACGATAATGATCAGGATAACCCGATTGAGGATGACTACTACACGTTCTTGAATGTAGAGAGAAACGTGAGTAACCGTGGCAAATTCATTTTCCATACGAATTTCTCAGGTTTTTTTCTCCGGTCGAGGGTAGAGATCAATTCGAAGCCCTCCACGTGACATGTTCTCGCATCGAGTCTGATGTAACCGAGCCCTTTGCAACAACATTCTGAATTATTGCCAGACGATTATTCGTTCATTCCGACACGCTTCGAAGAGTAGCTCTTAACCTGATACAGTTTTTAAACAAAACAAACCGTTCGAGTACATTCAATGGGGCGACCGCATTCCTTCATTTTTATCTGTCCTTACAGTTTCAAGCTGCAGTTATATATGTACTTTAGAAGACCGTTGACAAGATTGCTGTCAGTTGGAACCAATCCTTTTTCTATAGAACTTTTCCAATTTTGTTAATCGTATTGGTGACAAAGTGTCATAATTTCTAAAAGTGTCTTTCGGAGACTGTATAATGCTACGTATCAGAAAACATAGATGCCTAAGTTCTGTACTCGTCTCTTGTAGGCGACTCCAGAAGAAATTCACAATGCTTATCGTAGACAAAGTAGGCTCTACCATCCGGACAAGCACACGGATCCTGCGCTCAAAAAGGAAGCGGAGATTCTGTTCAATCGTACAAAGAAAGCTTATGAAGGTTCGTCCATGATGCAGGTCCATGTTTCGGCGTTCTGTGTACAAAATGAAATGTTATTTATGCAACAGTCTTGAGTGATGCACATCAGAGGGCCATCTACGATTCCGTGGGAATTCGTGGACTGGAAACAGAAGGATGGGAAATTGTACAGCGTACCAAGACACCTACAGAGATCAGAGAAGAATACGAGCGTTTGGCGAAAGAAAGGGAAGAGAGGAGGCTACAGCAGCACACGAATCCTAAAGGCAGCATAGTGGTGAATGTCAATGCCACGGATCTTTTTAATAAATACGTTGGAGACTATGAAGACAGGTAACGCACAGTGTTATAGACCACACAGATGTAGCTGTTACATTGTATATTCTATTTTAAAATATAGCACGGATATATTTTCGTGCCTGGAAGTCAGCGGAATGTCGTTCACGCAGTCTATCGAAGCACCTCTTACGTTAAGAGACACAGTAACCATGTACGGCCAATTGGGGACCGCAAATGGAACGGGTTCTGGTTCCATAAACGTTTCCGCGAGACGATTAGTGTCGTCCAAAGGTTGGGTAGAAATGGACGTCGGTGCTGGTACTGGACCCTCGATGTCACTCAAAGGTTTCTACACGTTAACGAGGAGATTATTCTGCGACGGAGCAACGATATTACAATTTACGTCGCGTGGTCCGAAGTTAGGCTTTGTAGGAAGTATGTTTATTGAAATAAGAATGCAAAACTAAATGTACAAACTCTATTCAATATAATGTATCGATTGCAGCTCTAGCGATGCAATTAGACAAACACACCGTAGGATATCTAACGTACAGAGCTGGAATACAAAGTGCTATGAGCACAATGATCGTAAGGGACACATTCAGATCGTATACAGCGTTCTCGATAAACTTAGGTCTCCTGCAGTCTTTTCTCAGTCTGAATTACACCTATAAAATGGAGGAAAAGCAACTGAAGCTACGTGGCAGCGTAAAGTTAGTAACCACAAGGCTATAGTTATTGTACACTCGATCGTGTATGTATCCTGACTTTTACATTGAATTTGGGGTTATTTTAATTTTAACGTTCCACTGTCTCCAGGGTTGGTACTTTTGGAGTGTTCCTGGAATACGGGGCGGAGAAAAAGGTGTCGCAGCATAGTAGTCTCTCGGCGGCGGTGCGGGTCGGTGTGCCGACCGGTGTCACGTTAAAAATGAAATTAAGTCGTGCCTCGCAATCGTACACGTTGTCCATTCACTTGAGCGACGAGATTCTGACGGCGCCTGTGTTCTACGCCACCGTGGTCCCCATAGCGACCTGGACGGTGGTAAAAAAAATGGTGATCGATCCGATAGTGAAAGAGCGCGAAGAACGTCGCAAAGCGAAACAGAAGGAAATGAACAAATCACGGATGATGGAGAAACAGAAAGAGGCGAAGATCGCGACGAAATTAATGAAGGCCACGGTTAGCAAGATAAGAACGGAGGAGGAGTTGAAGAAGGGATTAATTATCACAAAAGCTTTGTACGGACGATTTATGTATCCTGAAGAAGATAGATCCACTACGCTGGAACTCATTCACAGAGATGAGGTGATTGATGTGACCATTCCGTTGCAGTGTTTAGTGAAGGATTCGAAATTGGTCCTCCACAATGCGTCCAAGGTATATAGACTCTCATATGAGATGCAACAAGGTATCTAAATGTAAAAGAATTTTATTAAAATCAATACGGTTTAATGTTTCGCAGAGTCAATTGCCTGGGTTCTACGACCCATGCGTTGGAGAGGAGAAACATTTGTTTGTGCAATATCTGTTTCACACTCTGACACACGAATGTATTATAAAGGACAATGCACCAGTCAGAATACCAATATCATGTAAGAATGTATAAATTTATATGAGGTCAAAGCACTATGCTTTAATAATAGCCTCTGTCTTTCTTTTTTTGTTTCAGCACACAAAGTAAATACGTGGTCTGTTCCAAAAATGGCGAGACATAATTTATAAAAGCTTTTTTTACGCGATATATTGTTCAGCAATCGGTGTAATCTTCAAGAATATTCGGTGTGTCGCCACCCAATGGGACTATTTTGAAGGACATTACCTTGATCGTTGAAAATATAACGTAGAAAAGTAATTTTATAAACAACAGTCTCATTACGTTTAAGAACAATTCACAGGCGCCACATGACGTGTGCGACGACGTCATAATAAAGTGAAGTGATATCATCGCGATACCCGGTGATTAGTTTGTACCGCTTCATCGAGGATTTTTTTTTTTTAAACCATACTTAGATTAAACCAATACAAATCACGTATTGAAGAAATTGAGTGTTCGTCGATCATTTGTACTTTGTACGATAAGTTCATTTTCCCAGAATAATCATTCGGCATAATTGTTGTTTCACCCTTAGATAACGAAGATAAGAGGACTGATTCGTCTTAACGAATATGCTTGTGAAGCATACACAAGATTTTCGATACAACTGTTTAGTGTTTTGTGGTCTGTTAAGAACATGTTTTTGCACAAACGTTACGAAACATTGCTTTTAAAGTATGTACTCGCAATGCTGCCCATGGAACGATAATAGACAATGTATATTCTTAAACGTAATCGCGACGATTACAATTAAATTATTCTATAAGGATGGAAATCATTATTAGGTAAAAATCGTAAAGAAACAAAAAAAAAAAACACTTGTTATTAGATTCGTGGAGCTAATAGAAATATTTTGCATATTGCGTATAATATATTAAAGAAGTAACTAATTTGAAATGTTGCACAGATTGTTAATGGACCCTTTTAAAAGTATACATACTTCGCGTTTATAGCTTATCGGCATGTATTTCTTCCAACGGAAATAGTATGTATATAGAATCGTATTAAAAAAATTTTGAAAACTGTTCACGTGTTCATTTACACTGAAATAGTAACACTGGGTAGTTCAGTGCCAAGCGATACGACGTTAAACAAGTTCGCTTAGTAAATTGTGCGAATTTGAATCGTGTTTAAGCTTCCAATTGTGTTGCTCATATTTCCCCATGTTTTAGCTCAATGAAACAATAAATGTAGCGTAAATTTTAGTTTCAAAATATACTTGAAATGAACGAATTTATTTATTACAAACGTTACGTTGTATTTCTGTGAATGTGTATCGTACGAATTCTCTTTACGTATTTACATCTATATATTTATGCTATTGCACGCAAATTTAGTAGAAGGAAAAGTAGTTCTTCAGAAAAAAAATTCTTTTTATCTCTATATTTTAACCCATACATCCAAAAAACAATAACTTTCGTAAATAATGAATTCTTTACATTTCGTTTAAGGCAGTATTACATACGCATTCTGGTTATCAATAAGCTAAAATCCCCACCAATGTTAATAAAACATTTCAGATTATTTAAAATGTTACAGGTTGCTTCTCCGATTTTATATACCCTCGCGTGCAAACTGCTTCTGCTACGGAAAAAAATAGCGTAGAAAAAGGGCATCCTACCATTTGAATTCGGAAGTTTTTGAAATTTATGCCAAATTAACATTCAATTTAACATTAATTTTAGTACTTGGGATAAATGTACCAAGTGGTAGATTTTTATTCTACGCCGCTCTTTCCCCTAGTGCAAGCCAAATTTGCTCGTGAGGGTCACTGGACCCCATCAAGCACACATCGTTTGCTTCATATTTGAATAGATCTGACGGCGTTATATGGACAGCATTTCTCTTGACCAAGTACTCGACATGTAGCTTAAAGATCGTAGATTAACCCCCTGTCATTGGCAATAACAATAAACGACCAGAACACTGTTAAAATCGCATTTAATCGCGGAGTACCACTATTTTTTCGACCGGTGGCGCCACCCGCGGCAATTCGCTCAAACTGCTAGCGAAATCATACCGACAGGTGAGTGAAAATTTCTAGTGATGGAAAAATGCGAATATCTCAGTAATTAAGCGTTCAAAGTGAACGTCGTTCGTCTCAAATTATTCCTGAGGGCTTAATACATCGACCCAATACTGCAAAACCCAAGAATTAGTAAAATTATTTATACTTGTATTAACGTTGACCCTTATGGTGTGACAACCCAAATAGCAACTGGTTTCGATTGCATTTATACCGCTGAACGGGCATCATTTTTCCTCGTCACGCATTAGATTTGAAGATTGAAGAACGTACATTAGTACTTTCTAGCGGCTGGAAACCAGTAATTACAAGAACATTGTTAAAATAACAATTGTTTGTAACGATCTCGTCATGCGTACCCCGTTTAGTTCACTTTGGACAACTCTTCCAACGTTATGCTGACAGTATACGTCTTGACCAAGCATTCAATTTGAAGCTTAAAGAACGTAGATTAATCCCCTGTCATTGATAATAACAATAAACAATCAGAACACTGTTAAAATCGCATTTAATCGCGGAGTACCACTATTTTTTCGACCGGTGG